AGCCTCCCCTCTGCCTGCAGCCCGGGCTCGCCATGCACTGAGTGCTGATGGGTTCCTCATGTACCTCTGCTCCCCGGAGGGCTCCATCTTCAACCCCCGGCACCAGGTGCTGTGGCAGGACATGAGCCAGCCGCTCTGCCACTACTTCATCTCCTCCTCCCACAACACCTACCTGATAGAGGACCAGATCCGGGGCCAGAGCAGCATTGAGGGCTACATCAGGTAAAGTGGCTGTTCCTTCCCAGCTGCCCCCCAGCACCCTCCTGCTCCAGTGCTGTGCCCCAGGCAGCTCCAAGGGGCAAACCCAGAAGCTCCCTTGCCTCCTCTGTGGTCCAACACCCCTGTGGCTATGCTATGTGATACTAAGTAAGGAGAATCCTGAACCCAGCTCTTCCTGCCCTGCATGCAGCAGCATCCCCACGCTTGGTTGTTCTCACCTGGTCCCTGTAGGGGTGACACCCTCAGGCAAAGGGGAAAGCAGGCGGCTGCTGTCCTGGCTGGGTGCACAGTCCCAGGGCTGGTAACTCACCTCTAGGGCTCTGAAACGGGGCTGCCGGTGCCTGGAGGTGGATTGCTGGGACGGGCCGAATGGGGAGCCCATGGTGTACCATGGCCACACCTTCACCTCCAAGATCCCCTTCCGGGAGGTGGTGAACACCCTGGGCAAGTACGCCTTCAAGGTAGGGCACCTCCCCTACGTGTTCGGTGTCCTGGGTGACCCTTGGTGTGGGGGGGGATGTGGCTCTGATTTGGGGCAGTGATGTGTCTCTGGAGGGGGAGTGGTGCTGAGGCTCACACGCCTGGTGCTGCAGCAGGACTGACCCCACCACAGGCAAGAAGGTGGCTGTGTCCCTTCACAGGGGACAACACTGGGAGGTCTGACCCACAGCCCTGCACTGTGCTGTGCCAGAGGAGGCGGGCTCATGCAGAGTCTGCTGGGGGTGCAGGGGTGAGATGGGACCTGGGAGATGGGTGGGTGAGATGGGATATGGGGGATGCTGGGGGACTGGAGGAGTATGAAAGCCTCAAGTGGACACAAGGACCCTCAAGGGGCTCCAACCTGGCACTGACCATACCTGGGCAAAGCCCTTGTGAGAGCTCCCAGCTGCACTGATGCTGATCTCTGGATGTGCACGTTGCTCCATAGACCTCGGACTACCCAGTGATCCTGTCCCTGGAGAACCACTGCAGCATGGAGCAGCAGGAGGTCCTGGCCCAGCAGCTCAAGACTATTTTGGGGGAACAGCTTCTCACCACCACCACTGATGGGCGCGTTCCTACCCAGCTCCCATCCCCAGAGGTAGGGACAGTGCGTCTGCATTGAGCATTGCTGTCCTGCCTGGCAGTGGGGTTGAGGTGGCTCTGCTGTCCAGAGGGAAGGACGCCTCTGTACCAGCATCTCCCTGCTCTGCTGAAACACTCAGGGACCCTGGCAATGCTGTATCCTCATGTTCACAGCAGGTCCCAAAGCTTTCCCTAAGGTTGTTTCCCCATGCCCTGCAGAACCGGACAGCAGAGCAGAGCCCTCCTACCCTGTCCCCTCATGGGTGCTGAAGGGAGCAGGTGGTGCTGGCTCCCAGCAGTGCAGGGTCCCAGAGGACAGCAAATCCCATGGAGGAGATGGGCACCCCAAGGTGCTTACTGCTTTATCTTCACCTTGTAGGAGCTGAAGCACAAGATCCTGCTGAAGGGGAAGAAGATTGGACGGCTGGAGGACACACTGGATGGCCCAGGGGATGAGGGGCCCGATGTGTCCGATGATGACGACGGGGCAGAAGCAGAGGAGGAGAGGCGGAGGGTGAAGGTGGGTGGCCTGGGTTGGGGACTGACTGTAATTACTGAGCCCTGGACACAGCTATGGGCCATGGTGACATCCCAGTGCTGAGAGGAGAGGCAGGGACTGCAGGGCCATCGCCAGGCAGGGGGGACAGCCCTTTCTGCCCTTGGCCATGCCCTCCACACAGTGGCACCATGTTGGCAATCACCTGCTTGTTTCATTCCTGGCAGGAAGGCTGCCCATGGTGGGAATGCTGCCACATCGAGGACATCCCTGGCTGCTCAGGGCTCTACAGCCCCTGTCCTGACTGAGTGCTGTGAGATGGTGCTCCCATCTCCATCCACAGAGACTCAATGTAGCTCTGCCTTGCAGAAGGACAAGGAGAGCCTGGCACAAGCATTGTCCGACTGTGTTGTCTACTGCAAAAGCGTGTCCTTCCGGGGCTTCCAGGAGGCCCGCAGCCATTCACGGCCCTCTGAGATCTCCTCCCTTGCTGAGGCCAAGGCCAGGAAGCTCATCCGGGATGCCGGTGAGATGGAGTGGGCAGTGGCACCAGGGGACCGGGCCAGGGTGAAGGGGGCAGGCAGCTTCCTCAGGTATAGGGCTAGAGCCCCCAGACACTGGGGTTCCCTCCCTGTCTGCAGAAAAGGGGGTCCAGCAGGGCTGTACCCTGCTTTTGGCTCCAGTGGGTGAGGGGGGTGTCACTGGCTTAGAAAGCAAGGCAGTATGCCTGGGCTCCTGCGAGGGGAAAGGACAAGAATTGGTGGATGGATGGAAGGGTAGGTGGATGGATGGATGGATGGAAGGGTAGGTGGATGGATGGATGGATGGATGGATGGATGGATGGATGGATGGATGGATGGATGGATAGGTGGGTGGATGGATGGATGGATGGATGGGTGGGTGGATGGATGGATGGATGGATGGATGGATGGATGGATGGATGGATGGATGGATGGATGGATGGATGGATAGGTGGGTGGATGGATGGATGGATGGATGGATGGATGGATGGATGGATGGATGGATGGATGGGTGGATGGATGGATGAATGGATGGATGGATGGATGGATGGATGGATGGATGGATGGGTGGACGGATGGATGGATGGATGGATGGATGGATGGATGGATGGATGGATGGATGGATGGATGGATGGACGAACGGATGGATGGATGCTGGAAGGGTTGCTTGAAGGGAGGCAGGGAGGGCAGCACATGTGGGTGCAGACCAGGGAATAACCCCACAAGTGGCCCTCATGCTCCATCCCTAGGGAATGAGTTTGTGCGCCACAACACCTGGCAGCTGACACGCATCTACCCCAGCGGGATGCGGACTGACTCCTCCAACTACAACCCCCAGGAGATGTGGAATGTGGGGTGCCAGATCGGTATGGCTGGGGGGCATCTGGGCTGCAAGGCTGTGGGCTGGGGAAGATGCCGTGGTTCCTGTGCCCGTGCTGGAGCCAGCTACCATGATAGCTGCAGGTCTAGCTGCAGGATCTTGCTCTCCCCTGGGAAGCCTGGGGGTACCCAGGCATTGGTACCTTGTCCCCCAGTGCAGCCCTGCACTACTCTGGTCATAGGACAGGCTGATTCTCAGCTCCAAGCAGGACACACTGTCTCCAAGCTGTCCTGAACCCTCCCCTTACCACCTTCCCACAGTGGCCCTGAACTTCCAGACAGCTGGCACAGAGATGGACCTGTGTGACGGACTCTTCAGCCAGAACGGCCGCTGCGGCTATGTGCTCAAACCACCCTTCATGAGGGACGAGGAGACTCTCTTCAACCCCAGTGACCTCAGCAGCCGGGAGGGCCCTGGCCCCATCACCCTGACGATCCAGGTATGGGGCTGAGGAGAGACCCTGTGGAGCTGTGACTGTCTCTATTGGTCCTAGACAGGTGGAGACACCACTGGGCAGTGTGCTGGAGCTGAGCAGCCTCCCAGCAGATTGGTTTGGCTGCTCATGGGGTCCCTGCCTGTTCCTGCAGGTGATCAGTGGGCAGCAGCTGCCCAAAGTGGCCAACAGGAAAGATGGAGAAGTCATTGACCCACTGGTGCGTGTGGAGATCCATGGGGTCCCTGCAGATCAGGCACGCCAGGAGACCAAGTACATTGAGAACAATGGTGAGCCCCACGGTGGTACAAGGGACCCTGCTGCACCCCGGCAGCCTCCCTCTGCCCTCCCAGCACCCGTTCTCCCTTCCCAGGTTTTAACCCCCGCTGGGATGAGACGCTCCAGTTCCAGCTCCATGTGCCTGAGCTGGCCCTCGTCCGCTTTGTGGTGGAGGATTATGACAAGACCTCCAGGAATGATTTTGTGGGCCAGTTCACCCTCGCCTTTGCCAACATCAAACCCGGTGAGTGGTGAGGTCCAGGGCAGCCGTGCAATGGTGTCTGGGGGCTCAGCTGGGTGCTGGAGAGCAGGGTGGGGGGCAGCGGTCAGCCAGAGCCTTGGTGTCCCTTATGCAGGCTACCGCCACATCCATCTCCTCTCCAAGGATGGCACCAGCATCCCGCCCTCTTCGCTCTTTGTCCACATCCGCATCACTGAGCCGCCTGGCCCTGAGCAGGACTGAGCTTGTGGGGTGAACATGACCTGGATGGAAGCCATAGAGCCAGCCCCGAGGGGCTGGAGCCACGGAGCCAACTGCCTTGCCCTCTTCTTGAGCCATCTGTGTCATCTCCATCATCACTGCTGCTGTGGCCTCTTTGCAGTAGCCTCAGAAGTCTACAAAAAGGCACTGACCTCCCTCCCTTTCCCGGGTTTGGGATTCTGCCTCCCATATGTGAACATGGGGTCTGTGCTAGTGCAGCCCACTGTGTCCCCACCACATGCATTGTGCCCTGGCCTACAGGCACAGCTTGGACACAGGGAGGAGAGAGAGATGATGCACAGCACCCCAGCTCTGCCACAGGGGCTGATCCCCCCCACCCAGGGGAGCAAGGCTGGAGCAGAACAAACCCCAGGGCTGGGTAGAGCTGGGAAAGGAGTTGGTCCTCGCTGCCTGCAAAGCCCCATCACAGTCCCCAGCTCCTACTAACCCTTGCCATGTCCTTCCTCTGTAAGCAACCTAATAAATTGTTCAGTGACAGGCAAGCTTTGGTTTGGGTACAGTGGTGCTGGGGGACAGGAAGCTGGGCTTGTGCTTGTGCTCTTTCCCTGTGGGCACCTGGCCCACTGTTTGCACGGGGGCTCCAAACAGACCCCAAAGAATCAGTATTAAAAGGAGCTGAGAGATTCCTTTTATACAGCTGCATATTTTACAACCCATATACATATATGCCTATACACACACATACATCTCTGCAGCAGGCCTGTGCCACCAGCACCTTAAAGCAGTCAGGATTTGGCCTCACTGCAAAGTACCACCCTTCTCTGTGGGGCACCCTCTTTCCTGCTCCATGCAGTGGGGCCCCTCGGCCCGTCTCTCCTTCTGCACAGCATGGAGGTGGATGGTGGGTGTGCTGGGGTCCTTGCCCACCCCCTGGCTGGGATCGCCAGCCCCGCGCTCAGGGTGATGCCGCTGGATGTGTTTGATGACCTGGAACTTCTGCTTGGCCTTATAGGGGCAATAGCGGCAGAAGAAGGGGTGCTCGTTGGTGTGGGTCAGGTAATGGTGGCGCAGGCCAGCTGCCCAGCGGAAAGCTCGCCCACAAACATTGCAGACGTACGGCTTCTCCTCACTGTGCTTCTTCAGGTGGGTCTTGAGGAGGAAGCGGGTCTTGAAGGCCTTGCCACACTGCTCACAGATGAAGGAGCGAGCCTCCTGGTGCCGTGTCTCCTTATGCACCCGCAGGGCGTCTGCACGGTTGGTGCAGTACTCACACTCGTCACAGCGGTACGGCTTTAGGCCTGCGGTGATAGGGAAGGGGATGGCACTGGGATTGAGGGGATGGTGCCCTCCATCCCGCAGGTCTCACCATCCCTTGTAACAGCATCAGTCCCCATTGTTTCAGCAGGCATCATGTGGTGCCTGGGGTCCATACCACCCCACTTTCCCTCCTGCCCCAGGCCACTGTCCCTGACCCAGCAACACACAGGAGTGGGCTACTCCCAACTGCTGGTGGTCCTCCCCTGCCTCCAGCTGCAACACTGTGGCAAAGGAAGCACGTAGCAGAGGTTCCCACAACCCCAACACCCTCCCTGGTGTCCCATGGCCCGTCCCCAGTGGGCACCGCTCACCCGTGTGTTTTGTCATGTGGTACTTGAGCTGGTTCACCCACTTGCACTTGTAGCCACAGTCAGGGCAGAGGTACTTCCGCTCCTCCTTGTGGATCCGCATATGGTACTGTGGACAGGGCAAGAGGGCAGGGTCAGGATGAGGCCATTTCCCTGCCCTGGGAACGTGCAGGGTTCTGGGATGCTAGTGAGGCGCTCAAAGACAGCTGTGACATCTCAAACGTGAGGGGCAAGGAGGGTTGTCTGTTTGCCTGGCAGACGATGGGCAGGGGCGGATCCACAGTGAGGTCAGGATGAAATGCTCATACTCCTGTCCCAGCCTGTGGATGGCACAGGCTTTTTTCCCCTGTTTGGTGTTAAAGACAAAGTCCAGTTTAAGCCCCAGACCAACAGAGCAAGCCCTGAGCCGAGCATGTTGCGCAGCCTTCCCCACGCGGTCCCAGAGGGCTCCAGCTGAGCCTGGCCATTAAAAAAGTCAATATTTCTTTTAGCAAAACCAGACCATTTTCCTTTCCATTACCCCATGCCTGGCACTCCTGTTCTAGGAAAGGCCCTTTATCACACGGGAGGATGCTGATCCCCTACAGAAATTCTCTGCCTGCAGGAAAGCTGAGCTTTCCGTGCACTAACTGTTGCCACAGAGCATGCTGCAAGCCAGCAGGGAGACAAACTTGGCTTCAGGTGGTGCAAGGCTGCACGCAGAGGACACCAGAGACATGAGTGAGATGAGTAGTAAAGTCAGAGAGCTGCCCACCTTTCTGCTTGCTATAAATTCCATTTCCCCTTAATCTGCAACAGCAGGGAGCAAGGAAGAAACAAATGGTACCCATGTGAGTCTTACCCACTCACCTCTTACTCCTGTATGAGCCACAGAAGAGGACAGAGGACAAAATCACTCCTTGGAAATTACTTCTTCCCCAAATGCCCATGTTTGGACAGCGCCCCCCCCCCATGTAGATGCAGTAGGATACATCCCCAAGCAGGGCCCTCACCTTGAGACGCGAGGGGTCAGCGCAGGCATATTTACAGAGGTGGCACTTGTAGGGCTTCTCGCCGGTGTGGATGCGGATGTGCCACGTGATCTTCTGCCTGTTCTTGGTGGTGTACTCGCAGTCTGAGCACTTGTACACACGGGTGCCCCCGTGGCCCTTCATGTGCTGGTCAAAGACGAGCTGGTGGCGGCAGGTGAAGTCGCAGAAGGGGCAGTGCAGGGGTTTGTCCTGGGGGGTGGCCGGCTCGTGGCTCTCCATGTAGTGCCGCACCAGCTGCTGCCGCTCCTTGGCTGCAAAGCTGCACAGCTCACAGCGGTGGCTGAAATGCTGCGTCTTGTGCTCCTCCAGCGCCTCCCGCGTGGCAAAGGTCTCCTTGCAAGTGCTGCACTCCAGGTGCGGGTGCTGCTTCTGTATGTGGCATTTGAGCGTGGCCTCACTGTGGCACATGAAGCCGCAGCGGGGGCAGCCGTGGGACACCTTCTCCTCGTGCCGCCGCAGGACGTGCTGCTTGAGAGCTGTCTCGGAGCTGAAGCGAGCCTCACAGCGGGAGCAGCCGAAGTTGAGCTCGCCACGGTGGCAGCTGTTGACATGGCGGGTGATGTCGTTCTGCAGGTAGCTGCTGTAGTCGCAGAGCGGGCAGAAGTGAGTGGGTGTCTTCTCATGCACCCGCAGACGGTGGATGCGCAGCTTGGAGTTGGTGCCGAAGGTCTGGCTGCAGATGCTGCAAGCGATGCGCCCCACGCCGGTGTGCAGGGACTGGTGGGCCTCCAGGCGGTAGCGCCGGGTGGTGCTGAACTCGCAGTAGTGGCACTTGTGCGGTTTCACCCCCTCGTGCTTGATGCGGATGTGCTGTCGCAGGCAGCGGGCTTGCTTGCAGGTGAACTCGCACTGGCGGCACTGCAGCTGCGGCCGCTTGCTGTAATGCTTGCGGTGCAGCTTGCGGTGCAGCCGCAGGGCTTTGGCCACCTTGGAGGTGAAGGGGCAGGAGGCACAGCGGAACTCACCCAGGGATACACAGCCCCTCTTCTTGTGCGTCTTCATGGCCCGTTCCTGGTGGCACGTGAAGGGGCAGCTGGGGCAAGAGAAACGTCTCCTCTTAGGCAGGGTGGCTTTCAGAGGGGCTGCACCCAGCAGGAGCTCACTGGGCTGGCCTGTCTCAACGCTGGCCAGGTCCCTCTCAGGAAGCTCAGTGCTTTGGGATCCATCCTCCTCAGGATGCACAATGTGCTTCTCAGTACAGTGACTCTTGAGGGCCCGCTGGGAGCGGAAAGCCTCAGGGCACAGGGAGCACCAGAATTGCTCTAGGCTTCGGCACCCATCTTCCACATGGGAGGTGATGGTGGAGACACGGGAGCACACAAAGGAGCAGGCATTGCAGTGCAGCTTCCCTCCCTCCAGCCTGTATTTCTCCAAGGGTTTCCCAGGCTGGAGGGGACAAGCAGCTCCATCTTGGTCAGCCCCATCCCCTTGCTGGGGAGTCTCTTCTGCCACCTCTGTGCTGTCACCCGGCAGAGATCTCTCAGGGGCAGGACAGCCCGATGCACATTCCCCAGCCAAAGGACTGCCTGTTGCCTGTGTTTTATCAGGAAGCAGCTGAGCTTCCCAAGGGCTCTTGGCATGCTCAGACTCCTCTGAGCCTCGCTTCTTGCTCTCTGCCATTTCTGTATCATTATCACCAGGCTGGTCAGCAGATTGGCAGAGTCCAGGTGGCTCCTGCCCAGATGGTTTGAGGAACTTGCTGTTCTTCAGGAGAACTGGGCACTTCTTGAGGAGGTGGGTGTCGAGCCCCCTTTGCTGCTTAAAGCTGGCGCCACATTCGCAGCACACGAGTGGGGCCCGGCGGCTCTGGCAGCTGGCTTTAAAGTGCAGGGACATGGACTTCTCCTTCCGTGTGATGTACGAGCACTTCTCACACTTAAAGATTTGACTCTCCGACTGCACCACCAGCATCTGCACCCTGCCCTCCAGCACCAGTGTCTCCGCCTGCTCCTTGTCCTGCTTCCGCAGAGCCTTCAGCGCCAACTCAGAGCCAACATCATCAATAGAGGTGACCATGTCCCCTGGGACAGGGGGATGGCTTTGCTCTGCTGTCTTCAGCATGCAGAGCCAGGCTCCTGGTAGCTCAGCTTGGCTGGTCTCTCTCATCTCGGTATCTGTCACCAGCTTGTGGTGGTCTGAGCATGGCCCCTCCAGTTCGCCTGTGGCCTGTGTTAGGGCATCTTTTCCCTGGCTGTCTCCTGCCTCTGTGCTACCCTCCAGCCCCAGTGCCTCATCTTCTTGTACATCTGCCTCCTCTTCTTCAAAATCTGGGATGCCTTCAAGTGTATTGTCATTGTCCTCCAAGCCAAGGTCATCCCGGGAGCCCAGCATCTCACAGGCTGTGGTAGGCTCCTTGCAGGAAAGCATTTCCACACTCTCTGGCTGTGTTGCACAGGTTTCTTCAGTCAAATGCTCCAGGAGGGGCTCAGATGGGACATTCAGTGCCTCCAAGTGTACAGTGCAGCTCTCTGCCCCATCTCCCGAAGCAGTGAGCTCAGTTGAGCCTATGGCAGTGTCTCCTTGCACACAGTCATCTCCTGGGGTACTACCAGCTGTGGGACAGCTCTGCTCCCCCTCACCTATATCTCTCTCTGCCTCACTGCTGCTCTCTGGTGGAATGGCATCCTGCCCAAGGAGGGGCAGCATGAGTACTTGCTGATAGCCCTCTTTCCCCTGAGATTCCAGATGGGATGGCTTTGCCTTTGCCCACTGTTCCTTGCCAGCGAGGGTTGTGCTGGCATCCACATGCAGGGCTGCACCAAGCTCATAGCCAAAAAGTGCCTCAGGTGAGCTGATCTCCAGCTCCTTGCTGGCATAGTTTTCCAGCCAGTCCTTGTCACCAGGAACATAGCCATGAATCTTGCGCTTGTGGAAAAAGAGGCTGGTGTTGCTGAAGGTGCAGTAGGAGCAGAGGGCACAGCGAAACTCCTTCTGCTTGGTGTGCTTGCAGTTCTCGTGGTTCAGCAGCGCCTGCTTGTACTTGGTCTGATAAGTGCAGTACTGGCACTGGAAGACAGGCACCTGGTAGTTCTGCAAGTGTTTCGTCTGCATGTGCTTCTGCAGCTCATACTTGCGCTTGCAGGCAAAGCCGCACACCTCGCAGATCAGACTTTTGCCCTGGTGCCGCAGTTTGTGGCTGCTCAGCTGGTCAGCACGGTGGCACCGGTACGAGCACTGGTTGCACTGGTATCTGTGGGGAAAGCAGAACTGGTCAGGCAGCATGAGGAGCTGGGGCAGACTGAGCCTGTCAGGCATGCCAAGCTCCACTTCCCCATCGCAGGCATATGGGGAAGGGGTTCTGTTTGGATTGCCGTATCTGACCTTTGCTGTCAAGGCAGTTCTTACCACAGGCAATTCCTCCCTGCTGTAGCCCTTGGCACTCTGGATACTTTACAACCCCAGTCTGGGGATGGGAGATAGATTCTCTGAATAGTCCATACAGTGACCACATCACTCCCCCACTTGTCACTCCAGTGTCCTGGAGGCAGACTAGACTCAAATGAGGTGATAATACAGAAAAACATGTTTTGGCAGAGTCCTGTATATGCCCAAGCTGGCCTTGGCCCACAGACATCAGCAGAGCCCATGAACCCAGACTCAGAGCTGCACTGATATGCTAATACACCTCCTTAGAGGCAGAGACACCAAAAATAGCTTTGCCTCCACAGCAACATGCTGGCAACAACCTGCAAGCTGAAAGACCACACTTATCTGCCAGGAAGAGCAGGTTGTAGCTATCCCTCAGGCACAAGGGTCTGGCACACAATGCAGCCCAGAGCAGCAGACCCCTTGAGCAGAATCTGGGGAGCCCTGACTATGCTGGAGGCCAGAGGAGCCAGGGTTCCTACCGGAGGTCTCCAGTGTGCTTGCGCATGTGGACGTTCAGGTAGTGCTTCCACTTGGTAATGTAGCCACACTCGGTGCACATGAAGTTCTTGTCATTAGAGTGGGTCAGCATGTGCTTGGACAGGTAGCTCACATCCCGGCATGTGAAGTCGCAGAGCTCACACTTGTGAGGCTTCTCTCCTACATGTAACACAGGAACATCCTCAGCATGATGACCAGATACAGCAACGTGGTTTACCTCCTCTCAGCAGGAGCTGGGGGATAACAGCAGGGATGGGGGCACACCACGACTTCAGCCAAGTGACTGAGGCTGAAGTGGCAGAGCCACTGATAGGGTGGCAGAGCCAGTGATAGCACCCAGGAGCCCTGACCCAGCCCTGTCTGCCCACCCATAGCCAGGACAGGACTCCCCATCCCACCCTGGCTCTCAGGATGCCCGCAGCAGACACCCACCAGTGTGCAGCAGCCTGTGCCGGATGAGCACCCTCTTGTGCGCGGTGGCGAAGGTGCACTCGCTGCACTTGTGGATCTTCTCATTGGCGTGCATCTTGCCCACGTGGTCGTGAAACTCCACAGGGTTGAAAGTGGCATAGGGGCAGAAGCTGCACTGGAGCTGCTCGCTGCCTGGGTGCCCCTGCTTCTTGTGCTTGCGGAAAACGTGCTTGTTGGAGCAGATGAAGTCACACTGCTGGCAGTGGAAGGCGTAGTGGGTTTTTCTGTGAGCCTCCATGGCCTCGGCCGTGCTGAAGAGCAGCGAGCAGGCATGGTACTTGCACTCCACCGCCTTGATGCTATGGGCATCCTTGAGGTGACGGACAAACTCCTTCCGGTCCTCCACGCAGTAGTCACAGTCCTCCTGGAAGCAGCTCAGCCTCTTGGGCTCAGCTTTGTGAGTCTTCAAGTGCTCTTTGAGAGCCTGGCTGAGCCGAAACTTCTCATCACATACAGGGCAGGTGTAAACATCCGAGTAGAAGTTGGAAATGTCCTCATGCATGCTGGCCATGTGGCGGTTGAGGGCGTTCTTCTCCACCGAGCTGTAGCGGCAGAGCGGGCAGCGATGGGTCTTCTCGCCTGTCTCTCGCATCATGTGGATTTTCAGTTTGCTTTTGCTGGTAAAGTACTTGTGGCAGCTGGGGCACTGCAGGCTGGGGTCAGGGAAGTGCAGGTGGAGGTGCTCCACCAGATGCGTCCGCTTCTTGAAGCACCGCTTGCACTCAGGGCACATGTGGGTTTTGTAGAGGTACTCTGAGCCCTCCATGACATCCCCTGTGACAGCAGAGGAGGGGCAGCCATCAGCAGGGAAGGGAGAGCACAGGCAAATGTTTTCTCCCTGATCCAGCTGTGCCAGGGGGAGGGTATATACACATATATGGTCACATAGCAGGATGGGTCAGGTGAGCTCTTTCCAGTTCAACACAAGGAAAGCACAGCCTAAATCATGCCTGCCTGTGTGCCCCTGGTCCCCAAAGCCAGGCACACTTCTGGCTGCTTTTGCCTGCACTTGGCAGCAGCTATGGATGGGCAAAAGAAGGGATGTGTCTGACTGGGCAGAGGGCAGGTGGAACAATGCACTGGTACATGCAGGAGATGTTGGGGCTGCTGGACAGCAGAGAACCCACAGGGCCCACCAGCTTGGCCCACATTTCCCTGCCAGTCTGGAGGCTGTACTGCTTCTGCACAATACAGGCAGCTCCTGGTAGGGCCCAACATCCTACCTTTGAAATGCTGTGTCCGTGGCACTCTGGTTTTCTCAGGGGCTGCTTTCTCATCCTCTTTGGCCTCACCTTTGCATAGGCTCTCGCCATCCTCCTCTGGTGACTCATTCTCACCACTGTCGGAGTTCTCTTCTCCACCTGATGCTTTCTGACCCTCCAAGGAGCCCTCCCTGGTGCCTGCAGGCTTTGCTGGCCTGGCTTCTGCTGCAGTGGCTTCCCAGCCGGAGTCACAGTCCCCTGTCTCCTCCTGTCCTGCTGCTTCAGTAGGGAAAGACAGAGATCATCAGGCTCCAGGCAAAAGGCAGGCACCCAAACCCCTACATGCAAAAAACCTCCTGGCTGAGATGAGGACACAATCCATGCCACAGGGAGGAAGGAACACAGGGCTCCATGGCCTTCCAGCAGCACAGCCTCACCCCCTACTCCTCCAATTTGCAACTGGGATGCATGGACATAGTCATCCTCTGCAGTACTCACAGACCCCAACAATGTACCCAGTCATACCTGATGGCAGGACATAGCGCTGCTCGAGGCTGTGGGGGGCTGAATCAGGGGGGACACCAGTTTCAGGTGTCTTGGTGGGAGGCTCCACAGCGTGGCCCTTCCTGTGCTGCCAGAAGAGTTTGGCATTGGCTGTGACAAAGTCGCAGTGGCTGCAGTGGAAGGGGAAGTGTGTGCGGTGGTGCTGCTCCATGGTGGGGTGGCTGGCGAAGAGAAGCGGGCAGGCACGGTAGGAGCAGGACACAGGGGAGGCCCCATGCAGGCGGCGCAGGTGGCTGCGCAGTTGCTTGCGGTCCTCTGTGGCGAAGCAGCAGCCCTCCTCAGGGCAGGGCAGGGCTCCCAGTGGGGCACGGTGTGTCCTGAAGTGCTCCTTGAGCTCGCTGGGCTGTGTGAACACCTCCTGACAGACAGGGCACAGCAGGCACTCAGAAGTGCAGCCCTCCTGTGTGCCAGCTCTGGGTTGCTCCGGGCCCACTGGCTCACTCTGGCCTTTGCTGGCAGAAGCCAACAGTGTCCCAGGCAGCTCCAGATGCTGCGGGGAGGCCCGGAGCAGGCACCGGTGGTGGGACAGCAGGGAGGCCTCTGGGAAGCTCTGGCCGCACCTCTCGCAGAAATACAGCTCCACCACTTTGACCAGCACCTCTGCAAGCAGCAAACGGTGAGCAATAAGAAAGGGTTTTTGTCAGGCCCAAAGCTTGGGACTGGCAGCTCAGTTCCAGCTCTGGACAAAGAGGATAAACTGCTACTACCACAAATTACAGTTTGAAGAACTGCAGCACTCCCCTTTCCTGCGGTATCTCAGGGCATCTCCCATAAGAGAGGGGGCAGCACCACCCACATCCAGGTGACCACAATAACCAGGTCTGTCCAGTAGGACCTTTGGGGCACACAGGGATGCAAGGCCCCGTTCCTGGCAGGACATGCCCACACTGGACAAAGATGAGAAGCATATTGAGAACAGTAGTCTGGGGTGGAGATCTCTGCTTGGTCCGTTCTGACAGCTGAGCACGACCCCCCCACCCTGCACAGAGCTCTCATAGCCCCCTCTCCCCACCTGCACACCCTCCCTCCATTCACTGCCATGGGGCCCTCCCTGCACCCCATACCTGTGGCACTGGCCGGGTTGCTCAGCGCCATGTTGCCAGCCACTGCCTCAATGAATATTTCCACGTTGTTTCCTTCAGCATGAATCCCTTCTCCGGGCATTGATGCCTCTGCCAGCAGCAAGTCCTGGCTGGCAGCCAGCGGGGGTGTCCTGGCCGGGCTGGTGCTGGCCACACCGGAGCTTCCCACAGCTCCTGCCTCTCCTGATGTGGGCAGGAGCAGCTCCGAGCACAGGGCCTCCATCTCCCTGCTGGCACCCTCAGACACAGCCACTTCTGCGCTCATTGCCACTGGACACTGGCTGGTGCTGGGCAGCACAGCCTCTCACTCTGAAACAGAAGAAAGTGCTTTAAACAGCGACAATGCAGAGCTCCAGGGGCGCTACGGGATTTTGGCGGGCAGCCTGCCGTGCCAGTTCCTAGGCAGGGTATGAACTGGGGTATCTTAATGCCGGCTCCCTTCTGCTGTGCCCCAAGCGGGCTACCGGCACAACCCACTGCCACCGGCGAGGCGGGGCTGCAAGGAGCCCTGTACCCTGCCTTCGGCCTGCTCCGAGCCCCGCTGCCAGGGCTGGCTCCCCGGGCCCAGCCCCCAGCCCCCAGCCCCCAGCCCCCAGCCCCAGCCCCAGCCCCAGCCCCAGCTCCAGCCCCAGCCCCAGCCTCCAGCGAGGAGGTGCCCACCGCGGCTCGCCGCACGGCTAGCAGCGCCCCAACCCCTTCGCACCGCAGCGCCGGCCTATCCCGCCGCCCCGGGTCGGGGCCTCAAGCCGGGCCCCGATATCTCCGCCCCATGTCGACGGTGCTCGCCGAGGGGCGGGAGCGTCCCTCTTTGTGCGCTCAGCTCTGCCCCGCTGCCCGCCCGACGCCACTCTGCGTTGCCGGAGCCGGCAGCCGGGCGGAAGCGGCGCTGGGCGGAAGTGAGGGCCGGGGCCATAGAGAGCGGCGCGACGCGGGCCAGAGCGGCGCTGCGGGGAGGTGAGGGGCGGCGTGGCCAGAGGCGCCTTAGCCATGGGGTGAGCGGAGCGGGTGGGTCTGCGGCGCCCGGGCCCTTGTTGTGGAGGAGAGCCGGTGTAGGGCTGGTGTCCCGCAGGGGCTGCGGGGGAGAAGGCCCATCTGCGGTAGGAGGACCCTGCCATGGGCCTGTGGCTGGGGAAGGAGCCCACGCTGTGGGGTCAGGGCCTGTTCTAGGGGAGGTGGGATCCTGCCTGGGGGAGCAGAGCGTGTCCGTGTGCCCGTCAGGAGAGGCTCACATTCACCTCCTGTGTCTGATAGATCCCTGCTGAGGGAGCTAGGGAAGCTTCCGGCCTCCTCAGCATACAGTGGGGGCCCTTTATCCAGACGTGGAGGTTCTCCTTCCACCACAGCCATGTTCCCCCTGCCAGCAACAAAGGATAGGCTCTGGACTCAGCCTGGGGATGTACTTCATCTTTTTAAAACAATAAACCTTAAATAATGGCAATGCTCATGATTTCTAGCTGCTTAAAGAATAAAATCGCATAAAACTCTGGGGTTGCTGTTATGGCTGAAGAAGCAAGAGATGTCCCTGTGCTTGCTTGAGAACCTCCAGCTCTCTCCTGCCTGTCTCACCCAGTGGCCTGCAGCCAGGGAACTGCAGATCAGTTGTGTCTCCTGCTGCCATTCCATCCTTCTCTTCCCACACAGGTTTGGTTTTGGAGCACAGAGACCAGATGGTGTGGAACAGGAACCACTTAACTTCCCACAATGCCCTTTTCTGACTTTGTCTTGGCCCTGAAGGACAACCCATACTTTGGGGCTGGGTTCGGCCTTGTCGGGGTGGGCACAGCTCTGGCATTTGCCCGTAAAGGGGCCCAGTTTGGGCTGGTGGCTTTCAGGCGCCATTATATGATCACCTTGGAGGTGCCTAGCAGTGATAAGAGCTACCACTGGCTGCTGAACTGGATCTCCCACCATGCCAAGCACACGCAGCACCTCAGCGTGGAGACATCATACCTGCAGCATGAAAGCGGGCACGTCAGCACCAAATTCGACTTCGTGCCTAGCCCTGGGGACCATTTCATCTGGTAAGGGAGGGCAGGGGAAAGCACTCTGGGGATTGACCTTCATTTTGGCAAGGCAAGTCCAACTTGGGGTTTCTGTGAAGGCAGCAGAGAGGATCCTGTGTCCTCCTTGGGTCTGGATTAGAGCTGGAGATTGAGAGTGGTGAGAGGAGCCTGTATTCAGCAGTGTGAGGTTATTTCTTTACCTGAGATGAATGTTCTTGATGCATGAACCGTGCTGGGTGCAGTGAGTGGTGCTGGGCCACTGTCCCCAGCCGTCTTTCTGCCCCAGGTATCGCAAGAAGTGGATCCGCATTGAGCGCAACCGGGAGAAGCAGATGATCGACCTGAACACGGGCACCCCCTGGGAGTCTGTGACCTTCACTGCGCTGGGCACCAACCGCGAGATCTTCTTCAATATCCTGCAGGAAGGTCTGTAGAGGAGCTGCATGAGGTCCTGCTGGGAACAGCCTGTTCCCTGGAGACGCACAGGGCTCTACAGGAGATATTTCCCTGGCACCCGTCCCCTCTGCTCTCTCTGCAGCCCGGGAATTGGCACTGCAGGAGCAGGAGGGGAAGACAGTCATGTACACGGCCATGGGGGCAGAGTGGCGGCAGTTCGGTTTCCCCCGCCGCCGCCGGCCCCTCAGCTCTGTGGTGCTGGAGGAAGGTGTGTCGGAGAGGCTGGTCCAGGATGTGAAGGAGTTCATCAGCAACCCCAAGTGGTACAGCGACAGAGGCAAGGTTCTGGTGTGGTGTCCTCACTATCATGGCTCCTTATGCCTTCCCTGCATGGGGTGACACTTTGGGCACATTCTGCAAAAAAGTGAGCCCAGGCCTGGGGCTGCAGAGGGACAAACTCCCCTTGGCTCAGTCGAGTCCTGGAAATCACGGTAAGCCACGGAGTTCACCACCTGTGACACTGCTGTATGGTGGGACAGGATGCCCGTGGTCCTCTCTGGAAATAGCTGCAGAGAGGTTTTTTTCTCTGCTGCTTGCCTTCCCCTGCTGTATCTTCTGGGTGTGCTGAGCACAGGCCCACAACTCTGGGGGAGTGTGCTCAGAGCAACCCAGCTGATTCCTAAAAGGACCCTGTCTTCCTAGGGATCCCCTACCGAAGAGGCTACCTGCTATATGGTCCTCCTGGCTGCGGGAAAAGCAGTTTCATGTGAGTATTACTGGTTGGCTAATGGGAGTTTTCCTTCCAGCTGCTTGATCTGAGACAGCAGTCTCTGGTGGGTTTGAAATGCAGGAGAGGGCTGTGCCTCCTTTGTGGTGCTTGGTGTAGGTGTTTGCGTTGCTGGCACTGTGACAAGTCAAGGTTGACGAGCCCTTCACACCCTTGCTTGGCACAGTGCTGTTGTGACACCAGGGGGCTGAGCAGGGGCTCCCACCTACCTCCCATATCTGATCCCTGCTGGGAGAGGATGCCTCTGCCCTCTCTCCTGCTGCTGGGAAGGGAGGTCTGGTTCTTCCTCTGCTCTGGGTTTTCTTGCTATGATTCACCCCTGTGGTTTGGGTCCTTCCCAGCACAGCCCTGGCCGGGGAACTGCAGTACAGTATCTGCCTGCTGAGCCTCAGTGACCGCAGCCTCTCTGATGACCGGCTCAATCACCTCCTGAGCGTGGCGCCACAGCAGAGCATCATCCTGCTGGAGGATGTGGATGCTGCCTTCATCAGCCGGGACCTTGCTGCTGAGAGTGAGTGGTGCCCCCATTCTTGGTCCAGCAGCAGGAGGGAGGTTTGCCAGCTGTGATGGGGAATGGTTTGGACTCTGGGCTACTTTGCTGCACCAGCAGAGTGGGCAGCTCTCTGGGGCCTCAAGGCCTGAGCTGGACCACTTCCAGTTTTGGCTAGGCTATACAAAGGGAAATTCGGGTTCTTTATCAGGCAAAGACATTACTCCTGCTCAGCTATTTTCAGCAGGAGAAAGGAGATGGCTTTTCCCCTCATTCTCTTTTTGGGTTCTTGTGGGTTCAGGTGGGCAGGGGAGGCAAGGGGTCAGCCTCAGGGCAAGGAGAGAGCAAGGAGCTTGTCTTAAGCCTCAGGTGATAGGGAGGTGGTCCACAAGGCTGTGTGGGGTTAGTGTCCAATGGATGTGATCTCATACACCTCTGTCTCTACAGACCCGACTGCATACCAAGGCATGGGGCACCTGACCTTCAGTGGCCTCCTCAATGCACTGGATGGTGTGGCCTCCACAGAGGCCAGGATTGTCTTCATGACCACTAACTACGTGGACAGGTCAGAGCTGCCCTCTGGCAGGAAACAGGGAGGGTAGCACAGAGAAACCTGTCTGGGCTTTACAGAGAGCTATTTGTGTCTGTCACATGAGGACTGGGGGTTCAGGTTTCCTGAATCCTCCCTTGGAATGCAAATCCCTTGATTGCTAATCAGGATCCCTTTTGCTGGAGCCTCAGATGTTTCCTTGCTGTTCAGACCATGGTTGTGCTCTTCAGGAGCAGTACCTGCCCATAGGTTTTGGGGTTGTGACCATGCTGTGAGTGAAACACTGGCCCTGTGTACAGCCCATTGGGTGGGCAGGATGCAGTCCGGGCTCACAGCACCTGGCCAGATGCTGTGCTTGGCTTGCTCTGGACTGAACTGGCCTAGAGGGTTTTTGAGAGGTTTTTCAGAGGACAGAGATGGGCAAAGCTATTTCCCGGGGCATGTTTGCCCTCTTCCTGAGGAGTCAGCCCTTCCTCAGCTCACTCGCTTCTTTTGGGTTGATTTTACCCCTTGGGACTCCAGGGACAAACCTGTCCCCACCTTTACCATCTCACAGAGCAGAGCACCTTGCAGATAGGACATGGGCTGTGCTTATTGTGCAGAGACACTTTGCTGAGGTTCTCAAGGCACCCATATCTCTTGGCAGGCTGGACCCAGCGCTGGTGCGGCCCGGCCGTGTGGATCTTAAGCAGTATGTGGGCCATTGCTCCCACTGGCAGCTCACCTGCATGTTCCAGCGCTTCTACCCTGAACAGCCGCTGGCTGCGGCGCAGCGCTTCGCGGAGCAGGCGCTGGAGGCCTCGAAACAGATCAGCGCTGCTCAGGTGCAGGGCCACTTCATGCTCTACAAGATGGACCCTGAAGGAGCCATTTCAAACATACGCTCCATCCTGCTGTGATCAGAGGCCAGCTTTCCCCTGCCACACTGAAAGGACTGGGACAAGGATGTGACCATCCTGGGATGCCATGAAGCTGCCGAGCCATGCAGGCCAGGTCTCTGTTCACCTCTACCCATCCAATGCCTTGGCTTTTTATTAAAACATGAGAGGCAGAGCTGCCAGCCTTGCAGCAGGGAGAGGAAATCTCCCATAAACTGCCAGGGCTCCTGGATGTGAATCCCCTTGGGTGCAGAGCAGCATGGGGGGTGCCCCAGGAGGACATTGGAGTGCTGGACTGCTAAAGAGCTGCTGGTCTTTTACAGAACAAGTCTTCACTGGTTTGTGAATATCCTTTGTGAAGTGCACAACATGGCTCTTGGCTCTCTGGTCCCTTCTCCTGTTGGTTGCCCCAGCTGCTGGTCCAGTGCCCTCCTGACCAGGGCCTGGCACAGCCAGTACTGCAAATCCAGTGTTTCAGAAAAAAAGCAGCTCACTGTCCCTTGGGCTGCAGGCTGGTGGCACAGTTCCTGCCCTACTGGGTTGTGATGCCAAGTTGTGGATTGGCTTGGACATTGTTCCTGGGTGGGCATGACTCTCGCCCCTGCTAGAGGAAATATGGGGCCCTGGAGCTACTGCCCCCCTGCATGTGGGGCAGATGAGACTCTTTGGTTACATAATATCTTCCCAAGAGCTTGATTTACCCCAACATGAATTTCTGCAGCCCTCCTAGCCCTGTGCAAGGTGCAGAAATCCCTGTTGGAGGTTACTACTACTTCAAGGAGGAGAAGCCCTGCATGGCTGAAGAAGGGATTTGTCCCACTGCTGGCAGGCTCACAGCCTTTTTCCTGTCACTGGGTTTTCTTCCTGCTAGGAACAAAGGTCCTGGATGGGCAGGTAGAGCCATGGGTGCCTGAAATGCAGTCGAGGAGCAGGCAGATTCTGTGCTTCCTTCCAGCGCCATGGAGCTGGGGTGTGCATGCTGACCCAATAGAACAAAACAGCCTGACCCTGTTTCAGAGTCCTGAAATCGGCTTCCCCAGAGCCAGCCCTGTGTTCATGTTCTCACTCTGGGGGCTGTGTGAGCTTGGTGGGGCAGGTGAAGCTGGTTCCACGCTAAGCCTGAACTGCGTTGCTGCTCAGCCCAACTCTTGGCTCTGCCCTGTGGGGTCAAGAGCAAAGCTGAGAGCATGTGGGGACAAAAAGGAACCCAGGTGATGGCACCTGGCTGAATTTCAGCACAAAGAGGTGCTGTTTTGATGCAACCCTACTTAAATACTTTTACAAGTGAAAGGCTTATGTTGTGAGCATGGGGTGTGTGTGCATGTGTGTCTCTAGTGACCCTGTGTGGCTCCTGGAGCAGGGTGCTGGTGCTGACATCTCAAACCCTGTGCTCAGCTGTCCCAAGGAGGCCAATTGCTTGGATCCAGCCTCTTCCATCAAAACTGGCCCGTGAGTGCCTGGTGAATGCCTCATGGTGGTTCAGGAGGACAGGGGACTGGTGAGGAGAGCCAGAGAGCCATGATGCCACTACACGAGAACACACACATCTTTTCACTCTGCTTGCTTTTAATAGCGGTAATGCTACAGATGCCACTGGTGCACTTCTGCCCGGCCCAAGTGCTTTCAGCAGCAAAGTCCCACAACAGCCCCATGAGGTAGGTGGGTGACAGAGGTGGACACCAAGCAGGGAGCCCCAGGGCAGGGTGCAGGCTCCATTCCTCCCCTCTGACCTGACCCAGAGGTTTGTTTATCCCAAATTCATTTCCATGCACTGTTGCCAACTGTCCTCTGCTCCAGGCTGACAGCAGCGAGTCAAAAAGGTGAGAGCCCTTCCTAAATCGGAGGGAAAACACCTCCCCACTCTGGCATTTGACTGAAGTTTCCCAAGTTCACTCTGAGTTCCAAGGCAGAATTCCCATGCTCCAGACACTGGGGCCAGCAGCTTTCCTGCTGAGACTAAGGCTGGCTCACTTGAGGAAGCAAAGGAGTTTCAGCAAAGGGCAGAGATCTTCTGTGTTTCTTCCAGTACGCCTCTGTTGGAGCACAGCATCTTCACAGGTGAAGGCAGGAGGCAGCAGCACAAGTACCAACATCAGATAAAGCTGGTACCTTTTCACCCAAGTGTGGACAGGCCACTCACCCAGAACCCAGGTGAAACAAGGACAGAGTGAGCACTGAGGCAAAATCAAGGCTCTCTTCAAGGAGCAAGGGCTCAGTCCTTGTTTCCAGCAGGGCATAACGTCTGGTGCCGAGATCCCCAAGCCCAGGACAAGGAGGGGAATTAAAAAATAATGCTTCCGAGCATCAGGACTGAAGAGAGGCCAGTGTTGGAAATTTAAGCACAGAAGGTTCTTGAGCAGCAGCACAAGGACAAGGCCAGGTGTGAAGAACAGGGCAGGGTAAGAAAGACCCATCCAAGGATCCCATTGTGCACCCTTTATGTGCCAAAGGATCAGCCAGGCAGATGCAGCACAAATGCCCTCCCAGCTGGCATCAGCCCTTGGGTTCCCAGGGATCTCGCCCAATGCTCTGGCACATCCATTGTAGCATGGCCAGTTTTGCACTCAGCAGGAGGAGGAAGACAGTAACAATCCACATATGGCCAAGAGTGGTGGGGGCACAAGGCACAAACAAGCGTGAAGGAATCAGTACTGTGAGCCAGGGAGCTTACAGTGAGCTGGGCAAAGCAGGGACCATGGAGACCTCCAGCCACCCAGGAGTGCCAGGGGAAGGTCCCTGCCCTGGCCCCAGGTGTAGGCAGCAGGGAGGGCAGTGAGCAACACCAGGGATCACACCTTTGCTCTGAACAGCAAAGACCAGGAGGGAGAGAGGGCAGGGAAAACAAAGGGAGCAGGCTCTGGAAAAGAAGCAACAAATTAATTTAATAGCAGTATCCCACTTCAGAGGCTTGGGATTGCCAGTCACAGCTCTGGAGTGGGACACTGCTGAAATCTGTGCAGCAGAAGTAACTGCACCAAGTTAGTTTAAACAACCAATCCCCGTTTCTTTGAAGCAGGGTTAGCTTGAAGATGAAAGTGGGTAAGAGTATCCAAGACGTTGTGGCTTGTCTTTATTCTAAACTATGGTGAGCTCCAAGAGCAGCATGGCATTAGAGGGGGATCCCAAAAGAGGTTGCAAAGCAGAGGGCTCTTCCCAGGTCTCTCCCATCAGCTTCTGCCTGCACAAAAGCAGCTGAATAGCAGTCAGGGCTGCAGCAGAAGTGATACTATCACCAAGAGACAGCAGTTCAGAAGGTGCTTTAGGAAGGAATGGGGGATACAGCAAGCTGAGCTCCAGGCTGCTGCCCTGGCACAGCCTCATCACTTGGCACCACTGCAGCTTTGCTGGGATGCTGACTTCCAGGGAAGGTCCTGCCACAACTCTGGCTCTGCTGTGGCACTATGCTGAGCTCAGCGCATTTGCTCTGTAGGTATGCATGTTTCTTGACAGCTCACATACAGGGATAATGGCTGCATGTCCCTAGTCAAGGCTTCCTCTGTCCCCTGGGTCCTCCAAGACCAACGCTGACATGATTTGTCAGGATTCAGCTTCTCCAATGCTGGTGACAGGTCATGTCAGGATGCTTCACTCTGCACATATCCTAGGGACGCTGCCTGTCCCAAGCTGTACCATATGCTAACTGCCTCATCCCTCTCCCAAGGGGTATAGTGTCTGCTTGCTACTGCTCCACCAAAACTTCACTGTTCTTCCCAGAAATACCACCCCCGCCCCCAGCCCAGTTCCTCACCACTCCTGCTAGGAGCCACTCTCCTTCTCAAGATGGGCTTCTTGTCGTCCACTGGGCCTGAATGTCCCTTGTCCTCTTGGCACTCTGGGGTAGGAACCATGCTCCTGGGCTCTGGACCTCTCCCACCTCCCACAATCCCAGGACCTGTGGTGGCCCTGCCGGCTGGGAGCTGCTCTGTGGTCGAACACCAGTTTCTTCTCCCTGGACGGGGCCTCAGTCCCCTCCTCTGGGGTCCATCTCTCCACATCACGGTGCTCCTCTTTCAAGTCCACTGCCTCTGTTACTGGTGAGGGACCTTCGGGACACAATTCCTTTCTTTCAGCCAAGGCAGCAGCCCTGCTTCTGCTGTGAGGCTTTGTTAACTCCTGGCTGTGCTTCCCACTAGGTCGCCGCTCTGGTCTGTGGCTGAAGCTCCTGGGCCCCCTGGAGCCATGGAGCAAATGACCTGCTTCTTCTGCTGGCTCCTGCACAGCACTGCATGACTGCCTCCCCTGGCCTCTGGGGCCTGGCCTCTCCCCTCTGTACCTCTCCCTCTTACTTTGTTGCTCTCTAGGCACAGCAGGCTTCTCGGGCCGCCTGGGTTCTGCCCTGCCCTCTGGTACCCTGGGTGGCTCTGGAGCCGAGGCTTGGCTAGGTGGCTGGGGCACATCCACAGTGCTTGCACTCACTGGCAGCTCAGGGGCAGCGCCTGCTTGGCCTGCATTAACAGCAGCTGGAGGCTGAAAGAAAGAAACCAGCACTGAAGAAAGGGAGAGGGAAGTCCCACAGCACAGGACAGTGCTCAGCCCTACAGTCCAGGATCCCCCTGTGACCAGTGCCATACCGTCTGGAGGCTAATGAAGTAACGGTTCCTCTCTGCTTCAGGGTCAATGATGCCCCCTTTCTCTTGCTGTCTCTTGAAAATTAAGCGCAGTTCTTCCTGATGCTGTAGTGTCTTGGCATCGGGCTTGTATGGCTCCTGAACGACAGAAAGCAAGGCAGGCTAAGGGTTCTCTCCATACGTAGCATGGATCAGCAGCTGGCAGTGCTAAAAGCAACTCCCCAAACCCTCCTTTGATTGCATGTGAAATCTGTGTACACTGGCATAGCTGTTGGCATAACTTGCGTGTGCTCTGGTTCCAAATTAAGGGGTTTTGTTTGTGTCTTAGGGAAATTAAGGCCAGGTTGGATGGGGCTTTGAGCCACCTGGTCTAGTAGATGCCCCTGCCCAAGGGCCTAGATGGTCTTTAAGGTTCCTTCCAACCCAAACCATTCTACAATTCTAGGAACAGCGGTAGAGCTATTCTTAGCTAGGATTCTTAGATAGTAGTAGAGCATGCTGGTGCAGACCCACTGTTCATGCAGTGACTGCCTTGGGATGTCCTGCTGTGGGACAAGATATAGAGCAGCTACATGTAGGTCACTCTCCCAACCCTGATTATGTCCCAGTGAATACAGGGACATTGTCCATGGCAGAATCACCTCTCCCCCAGCACATCTGCTCAAGACTCAGGGCGATACAACCAAACATGTGCACATCTAAGAGACAGAAGGCACCCTGCTAGGTTTTGTGAACTGTCCTTTGGATGGGCCATCTAGAAGGACCTGACAGTGTGCATTCATTCATCTGTTATGCCCAAGCTGAAGTGGGCACGTGAGCCCCATCTCTTACCAGTGGGTGCTGCGGTGGCGGTGCTGCCTTCAGAGCACTGAGATCATAGATGAGGGTCTCCCGGCACACAGGGCATTGCACACAGACTTCCTGCAGGAAGCAAGAGGTGATACCAAACCCTGGCTGCAACCCAGCTCAAGCACTGCCCAAAACTCCAAGCCTCGCAGTGGGACCTGACACACCATTCCAACGCCTGCTTGGGCAGGTTTTATCACCCCCGAATACAGGTGATCATGTTTATCCTGCTGCAAAACCCTGCAGTTCAACGATTAGGGAAGGAACTCTCTTTTCCAACTCCTCTGTTTCCAGGAGTCCAAAGATGTGACTTCCCTGCCCCTCACACAGCAGGCCCTGACCCAGAGATACAACAAACCAGCTGCTAAAGTACTAAAAGCTCATGAGGTGATTTTGGTTGGAAAGGGCCCTTGGAGATCACTTGGTCTAATCTCCATTCTGATTCTCAGCATGGGCACAGCACTGATGATGCAGTGATTGCTCCCTGTAACGAAGGGGATGATGGATATGTCATGAGGGCCTGTGCAGGTGCGAGGGGAGGGAGCTCAGGGCCTGGTACCTGTTTGGGGGATAGTGCCAGGTGCTGTTCTCTCTCCTCCTGCTGCATAAGGATCTCTTCCTCCATGTGCTGGGCATAGCGGGCCAGGCAGTGGGAGTGGAAGTAGTGGTAGCACTGGGTCTTTGTGAAGGCTTCTCTCTCCTGCAGAGAGCAAAGGGCAGCTTTAAAGGCTTTCCAAGCATAGGGCTGAGGTAGGTTTTCATTCCCACATCAGTGCTGGCAATGGGGAACTAAGGCAACTGCTGGCAGAGCCACACAACATCTGCTGCTGGGCTTCATCTCTACTTTCTCAAGCCCTACCATGACACTGCCTCCTGTTCCGAGTGTGAGAAACACTCCTAATGTCAAGATGCAAAGTTTCGGTGACTGATTTCTCTGCATGTGTTCCTGTGTAAGCAGCAATCTTCCCACCTAATGTGTTCTTCCTAGGCAGGCACTGCCTCTTTCCTTGCAACCCAGACAAGGCTAGCTCCCTGGTCCTAGAGACCTCAGCACCTGCACAGATGCGTTCCAGTCCCTCCTGACTGCCTGTGTGCTGAACTCCAGGTGAGGTGTGACCAACACAGGGAAGCTGAGATGCACCAGCAACTATCCCCAGCCCCTACCCACTCCTTTAGAGACACCCTGGCATCACTTGCTGCCCCTTTGCCCTGTTTCTGTATATGGTCATCTTCAGGCTGATGGGGAGAGTATTGTGTATCACCTCAGGAATGTTTAAGCTCAGCAGGCTCACCTACAGACCAGGAAGCATGGGGCTGTTGAGGCACACCCTAGTCAATATCTCAGGCTTTGAGGTCTTGGCTCTCCATTCTCCTACCTCACTTCCCAGCCAGCCTGCAGGGCCAGGAGACACATGCGTACCTGGAATCCATAGAGGCAGATCACACACTGGCCATGAGGAATGTTGTTGTCAGTAAGAATTTCCTTCCCCTTCTGTGGAAGCATTAAGGAAAACATTTTACCCACTGGCCTGACCACGGGCTCAGGGCTGTCGCACCCCTTTGGCAGTCGGGTACCAGCGTCTGTAGCTCGTCACCCCCAATCTTCCCAAACTCTCACCTCAATCAGTTCATAGAGCACCTCTGTCCCCAGCCTGACTTCAGCGATGCTTCTGAGGGTCTGGGAAATTCTACAGCAAAGCAGCAGAAATGCTTAACATAAGTTTAGCTATACCTTTTCACTGTCCCACGTACCTGTCATCCTGCCATGATGACAACAGGAAGAAACAGACCGCTGGCCTTTAGGCTTTGCCTGCACCGTGGGACAGGCATACATGCACACACTTATTCATGTTCTTCTGGCTCCCTACAAGCTGGGGCTCAGGAGGCTTTTGTCCTCACAGGCCTTGCAAGAAGAGATTTGCTGACTGCCTTGGCTCCAGCTCAGCCAGCACCCTTCTTTTCTAGTGAATCTTGGACTTCCTTTATGTGATGGCAGTCCTTGCAAACGCTCTGCTGCACCAAGGACAGTAGCACAATGGCAACAATGGGCTGCCCAAGAACTCAGCTTAGTCCTGTCTCTGTCAAAGTAAGACCAATAGCTTCAGGTCCCTGGGATTTAGGGACCTGTATCCAGCTGTTCATCGGCCACAGGGAGCCATGAGAATTTGAGGAAGGCTTTTCCACCATTCTGCCTCCCAGACCTCCAGAGGGAGGAATCACCCTCCCGGCACTCACTTGTGAATTTGCTCATCTGACAGACCCCGCGGGTTCTTGATTGAGATTTCCGGAGCTTTATTGGGATACTAGGAAAAAACAAAGAAACACCCAGAGCACAACAAGAAAGGCGAAAGGCACGGGGCGGGGGAAAGGGAGCGCTGCGGCGGGGAGGACGCACCCTACCTGTGGGGGCACAGCGAGCACCAGGGTGAAACAGACGTACTGGGAGTCCTGGTCCTGCGCCGTGGCGGGGTGCAGGGTGATGCTGAGTTCCCACGCCTCGCACCTGCGGGGCAGGCGGAGCTGAGCGGCAGTGGCCCGGGGCGGGCAGGACGGGATACGTGGTCAGCGGTACGTACCTGCCTTGCCCGCGCACCACCCGCAGCTCCTCCAGGTAGATGGACTCCAGCACCTCCACCTCCGGCGGCAGCGCCCTGCGGGGAGCGGGCGGGGGTGAGGCCACCGGCCCCAGTGGAATGGGGCTGCGGGGCAGCCGTACTGGGGGGGTGTGTGAGTTACCAGTCCGTTGCCTCCGTCTCCTCACCGGCCGCCGCCATCTTGCGGCGCGCCCCGGAACCGGAACCTCAGCGAGGGCGCAGGCGCGAGAAAGGGTTGCTAAGAGACGCCAGGCGGCGACGGGTCCGGGAGTGGACGGCAGGTCCGGTCCGGTCCGGTCCGGTCCGGTCCGGTCCACCTGGGGGGCTCCACTCGTGGGCTTCCATCCGGGGCCTGGGTCTGTTCCTGCCGTGGGGACTGCAGTTGGAGTCGCGGCCGAGACAGAACCCTGAGGACACCCGCCCTGGGACCGCGCCCAGGGTGCAGCCCCGCTGCGAGGGGAGGCCCCGGCCCTTGGGATTGGGCTCGTAGGGGGTGGAGCTCTGCTTGCCCTGCGCTGGCACTGCTTCTTGCAGCTGGAGTTGGTGCCTCTCGGCGGCCGGTGGCGGAGGGCGAGAGGAGGGGGAAGAAGGCACAGCTCTCATCCTTACCGGCCGCTCTGCTTCTGCAGCTCGGCGGCTCCCTGTCCGGGCGCCCGCCATGGAGAAGTACCATGTCCTGGAAATGATCGGCGAAGGCTCCTTTGGGCGCGTGTACAAGGGGCGCCGGAAGCACAGCGCCCAGGTGAGGAGAGAGGCATCGGGGGAGAGGGCCGGTGCTGGCGCTGGGGACTGGTTTCTGGTGGCTGTGGGTTCCAGGCCCTGCCAGGCCTTCGGGAGTCGGCACTCGTTCGTTTTTGTGCTGATCTCCCTGGCCAGCTCCTAATGGCGCAGTCATCCAGGTTCAGGGGACCTCAGGAGTCCTCAATCCACTCCATGCTCAAAGCAGGGCCAGCACTAAATTCAGTGAAACCTCAAGGACAAACACCCCACAGCCAGTGCTTGGCTATACTTACAGTGAATAGATTTTACTTATATCAAAATGAAGCTCCCCTGTTTCAGTTTGTAATCTCTGTGTCATCCTCCTGTGTGCTTTATCCCCTCACCATCCTGGTGGCTTCTGCTATAACTGCTCCAGCCTGTTGATGTCTTCCTGGCCATGTTACTGCAGTGTGGTCTAAGAAGTTTCAAATAAAGGGCAATAATCACTTCCCTCCAATTCCTGCTGTTGATATAGCCCAGGGTGCTGCTATTGGCCCTCACTGCCATGGCACGCTGCTGGCTCGTGTCAGGCTGGCTGTCCACCAGTATTTGTAGGTCCTGTCCTATGTTTCTGGCAATCCTAGTTTTGATTGTGCTCACTGATTAGTTTTCTTTGCTTTAAATGCCAGTGTGCGTAGTACTGAGACCTGCATTGATGTGCAAGGGCATGGGGAGAGCCCTGGCTCCAGTGAACAAATGTTTCGTTTGGTGTGTTCGGCTGGGAAATGCTGAGTCCTGTTTGGGTGACATGAGGCCCCTGCCAGGGTGGGCAAGAGCATGGTCTGATCCCAGCTTTGCCTATTTGAAAGGTGGTGGCCTTGAAGTTCATCCCCAAGGTGGGGCGGTCTGAGAAGGAGCTGAAGAACCTGCAACGAGAGATCGAGATCATGAGAGGCCTCCATCACCCCAACATCATCCAGATGCTTGACAGCTTTGAGACTGACAAAGAGGTGAAGGGGATTACTCTGGGCAGATGCTTTTGCTTGAGAGGGCAGGGGGACAAGGGCTTCCCCCTGCTGCCATAGGGATGTCCTTCCTGGGAGATGCTGGTGACACCCTTCCAGGACCTGGTCAGTGTTTTTCAGTGTGTGGTGCATGTGGAGTCAGCACCTCTCTGGGCTGTGTGGGGTGCACTAAGAGATAAAGGAGCTGGGCAGGGGTGTGTGGTATAAGAGGGGTTTGGGATCACAGGGTGAGGGTGACTCTCCAGTCACCTCATCAGTCTCTTCAAAGTCTGACTTCACTATTTTAAACCCTCATGGAGAGAGTATAAGAAAGGGACTGAAGACTGTGCTATGGGACATGGGGGCATGAAATATAGTAATTGGGCAGCAAAATCAAAACAAACTCAAGGGAATGATTCTGCCCACCTGGATCGGAAGTACCATTCTGGGCTTGTCTTGTCCTTTCCTCTTCCCTGGTTTCTGCTGGCTGTCCGAGATAAGGACAACCACAAGGCCTCTGAGTGCCAGGCCCTTGCTGTGGTGCAGCTGTGGGTGCTCTCTCCCATCTCAGATCCCAGCCCAAGCTGACAGGCTGTGCATGATGACACTCCAGCATATCCCTCAGTTTTCTTACCCTGCTGTGTCCTGGTCCCCAGGGCATGGTGGGGATGGAGCTGGGTGAGTGCCTGATTTGACCACACTGCTCTTCCCTCCAGGTGGTGGTGGTGACTGACTACGCAGAGGGGGAGCTCTTCCAGATCCTGGAGGATGACAGGACTTTGCCTGAGGACCAGGTGACTGTCACAGGGTTGGCCACACAGTGTTTGCTGCAGGATGGAGAGAGCAGGATTTGTTTGCCTGCAGGCAGTGAATCTCTGCTCTGGGACAGGAGTGCCTCAGGGGCTTTACCTGGCAGAGCTGCTGAAGGGGGTGAGGAGGGGGCCATGTTGCACTGGGGGACATTGTGGTCCAGCAGGGACCTCAGTTTCCCTGTTCGCTCACCAAGGATCACAGCACGAGGCTGCTGCCTCAGCCATCAGTCTGCTCCAAGGAACTGCGGCCCCACAACTTAGGCTGGTCCTGGCTCCAAACAGGGCAAGGGTAGAAGTGGGGATACTGGGGGAGCCAGGCCATAAGGGAGCCCATGTCTGTGCCAGCTGGTGGCACCATGGGAAAGAGGGTGAGGCTGCCATGTCTCCTACAGGTCCAGACTATAGCTGCCCAACTGGTATCTGCTCTCTACTACCTGCACTCCCACCGCATCCTGCACCGCGACATGAAACCCCAGAACATCCTCCTGGGCAAAGACGGCGTTGTCAAGCTCTGTGACTTTGGGTGGGTGCTGGGGCCAGCTTGAGGGGGACACTTGGCCTTAGGGCAGTCAAGGGGTGTCCTGTGTGCTGTAGAGGAGGAAGGGGGAGTGTGGAAGGGGACCTGGATTCTGTGCATATTTAGAGGTTGAGCAGGGATGGGATATTTTGGATTTCAGAGGGGAGGGGTGTTGGTGAACTCATAGGGATCTCCCTGGGAGTGCAGTGGATATTTCAGACTGAACCAGCCATTTGTGCTTTGATCTGAGCAGGTTTGCCCGTGCCATGAGCATTCACACCATGGTGCTGACCTCCATCAAGGGCACCCCACTGTACATGTCCCCTGAGCTGGTGGAGGAGCGGCCGTACGACCACACAGCGGACCTGTGGTCTGTGGGCTGCATCCTGTATGAGCTGTTTGTGGGCACTCCTCCCTTCTACACCAGCAGCATCTTCCAGCTCGTGAGCCTCATTGTCAATGACCCTGTCAAATGGCCTGTGGCCATGAGCCCAGTCTTCAAGGTAAGGGGAAGGCCCTGCCTGTGGGGTGAGATCCCTTAATGCAGTAGCAGCTTTGGTCTCCCATGCTGCCCTGGTGGGTCACTCTTAGGTTTTACATCCTAAGAGGGATTTCAAAACATAGACAAGGGGTGAGAGAGGGGCCTCCTGGGAGGGGGACCCTTATCCCTGCTGTTCATAAGGTGGGAAATGGGCTGACAGCAGAGGAGTGATTTACTGGATTGGGAAGAGAAGTGTCTTTCCATCTGCCCTAAGCACTGGAGCCCCCCACTTCTTTCTCAGAGCCAGGCAGGGAACACAGCCCTGCTTTGAGCTCTTAGTGGGGCAGACTGGTGGGTACACTGTGCTCACTAGTGGGTGCTGAGCATGTGCCATGGATCCTGTGCTGTGCTGTGCTGTAGAGCTTCCTGCAGGGACTGCTAATGAAGGACCCGCGCCACCGCCTGTCATGGCCAGAGCTGCTCTCTCACCCCTTCATTGCTGGATGGGTTACTGGTGAGTACCAGCTCTTTTCCCACACTGGCTAGGTCCTTTTTTTTTCTTCCTGCTTGAAGGATGCCCTGCTATTTTTACTGCCTTGGTCTTTGCCTCAATCCTCTCAGCTTTCTTCAGGCACTGGCCCCTAGCTCATGCGCTGGGCTTGCTCTGGGTCCTTTAAGATCCCAGGAGAATCCCAGGGGAATCTCAAAGCTGATCACTCTCCCTGTGTCCCAAGGGAGAGCTGCTGCTGAAGTTCTCCCCTCGCCTCCCCAGTGATTGATGACACAGAAGAGCATGGAATCTCAAATCCCTTCACCACTAAGCCATCTCCAGAGCTGCAGGCCCTAAAGGAGCAGCAAGCCCATTCTGTGGCTCCCAGGAGTGGCCAGTCCAAGATCCTGAGAAAGGCCCGGCAGAAGGTGGCTGAGGAGGCACAGAAAAAGGTAGAGAAAAGCATGGGATTCCCCTGGCTGTGTCCCACAGTCAGGGCAAAGGAGGGCTACTGAAATGGGACCTGGGCAAAAAAGATAGACGGTACCTGCGTCAGTCTGGGGTATCAGCCACATACAACGCAAGATGTGGGGTCCTCGGGGTGGTGGGCTCTAGGGGAATCACGTGGCTGACTGAGTAACCCTGCCCTGACCAAACTGCTGTGCTGTCACTCAGGGACAACTGCAGGCAGGTGATGCATCTACAAAGTCCCAAGGCAAAGGATGTGCAGGGCATAGTGCCAGAGCAGCCCCAAGGAAGGCAGCCCTTGGACAGGGGGACCCACTGGCTGCCCCTGATGAGAAGAAACCTGATGTCCTACAAGGAAAGAGCATCATGGCAGAGTGGGAACTGAAGGAGCCACCTCCCAGCCCATGGTGAGGGAGGGCTAAGGCTGGGACAGGAGGAAGAGGGCAAGGCAGGATCATTCACTGACTGTGCTGTTTCCTTGGCTAGGGAGCAGAGCATCACTCGAGACTATGACCGGGAGTTTCCTGGAGCAGGTTTCCGTTCACAGCCTTGGGCTGGCAGGGCAGAGGCCCAGGGCAGGCACAGCATTGAGGCTGTGGACCTGGAGATTGAGGTAAGGTGATGTCTTGTGGTGAGGACAGCAGGGCCCAGTCCCCTGGCTGGTATAGACACCCTGAGGCAGGCAGGGTCTGTGGCACCAATCCTCTCTCTGTAATCAGGAGCTGGAGAGTGATGAGGAGTGGCAGCATCTGATCGAGACCACCGAGCCATCAGCCATGCAGCTGAGAATACCACTGAGTCTCCTGAGAGACCCAGCCTTCCGGCACCGTATCCAGGCCCGCCTGGCAGACTGTGCTCAGCAGGTGAGTGGTGCGTGGCCCATCCATGACTGGGGACATGGATGCTGCCTTCTTCCCCAGGATTGGGTTGGGAACACTGGGAGAGTCCTCAGTCCAGCCAGCAAGAAGATCGTCTGCTTCTCCAGGAGCTGGAGGCACTTAACTTCCCATCTGCTCCTCTGCTGTCTCCTCCCTAAATGGGTTGAAGGGCTGCCCATGGCTGACAGTCAAAACCGCTACTGACCATGAGCTTCTCTGTGTCCAGGTGCTGGAAGGGATGCTGGAGGGAGCCTCCCATCTCCGTCCTGTGCTGCGTGTCATAGGCAACCTCCTGGCTACCCGGTGTGACTCTGAGCTGCTGGACCACTTCTGCCGAGAGCTGAATGTGCCTCTCTCCCTGCTGCATCTAGCCAAGCAGATCCTAGAGAGCGGTAACACCAAGCAGGTGACTGTAGGACTCCTGAGAAATTTGAGCTTCTTCCAGCCCTGCAGGGTGCTGAGGAGGCCCTTGTGCCCTGATAGAGCTGGCTCACAGGACCAGTGCCTCTTCCAGGCACCCTTAAGAAATGGGAGGTCCTGGCAGGGAAGGATCCTGCTGTGGTGGTGTTGGGATGGCCAGAGGACAATCCTCACTTGCTGTTTTTTTTCTGGATCCTGCAGCAGCCCTGGTGTATCACAGTGCTGACAGACCTCATCATGGTGACCACAGTGTATTTCAGCAGTGAATGCAGTCCAGAGGAGAGTGGGCAAAAGGACAGGTAGGGACAACCCTTTGTGCTCTGAGGTCTCTTGTGGCCACTCTGGGGACCCAGCAGCAGGCGGAGGGGTGGTGTTCATACACCGTGGCTGGAGGTGTCTCCTTGGGGAACCGCTGTGCACTAGGTTCTTCATGCTGTATTGCTGTGCTTACAGAGGAGTGCTTTCCTTGACTGGGGCTAATTAAGGGGAAGGCTCAGCTGACTGGAGTCCAGTTGTGCTGACTACTGACATCAGCTCACAGTGCTAGTGTATGCTGCCTGCTCCATTAGCCAGGGCCATAGGGGCTGGTCAGATCCTGTCCTAACAGCCAGGGCCATGTTTCTGTGCTCTCCTCTGCCCTGGATGCCTCCCCCAGCCTGCAAGCCTTCCAGGAGAGTGCTGCCTGCTTCCTATCCCTGCTGCCAGAGCTGCTGGCTGACCCAGCTGACAGCGAGATGAGACTCTGCCAGCAAAGCCTCCTGGTAAGCATGCCACTGTCTCCCTTCTCCTGACACCTCCCACAGAGACAGAAGCTGTGGGGCTTGGGGTGTGCGTGGAAGGGGAGCTGCAGGCTGAGGGCTCTGCTCCCAGCAGTGGGGTCTGGTGCATTCTTTGTCAGGGCAGACTGTCTTGCCCACTAGGGTTTCTTTTTGGGATCATATACATAAAGGAGGTCTCTGAGAGGGCAGATTCCCTGGCTCTGTTCCTCCTTGTGTACCCCTTTCATCCAGCTTGCATATGCATGTGGCTTCCACACAGTGGCTGGAGAGGACACTTAGTGGTCCATGAAGCTCCAGCACGAGTCTTTCTCCCATCTCTGCTGTTCCCCCACAGCCTCCTCCCCCACTGTCCTTCTCTCTCCTCCCACCCTCAGTTTGCAGTGATGGCAACCCCTGTGTCTCCCCCAGTGCTTCACCCTGCTCTGTGAGAGCCTGGATGCGACATACCACTCTGTCGCTGCCTGCTTTTATGCCAGCCTGCGAGAAGATCATCAGCCCCTGCTGAACAGACTCCTTCAGGGATCCATCCCAGAGCAGCTTGCTCTGCGAGGTAGCAGTGACAGCAACACCCCACATTCTCCTTCCTGTCCTTGGGCTTCCTCAGAGCACTGACTGCTATTGCAGTGCTGTTGGCCAAAGGAGATGGATGAACTGCTGCTAACCAGGTCTCTCTTCTGCTCTCCCTCAATCCCAGATCTCATCCCCCTCATGCCACAAGCCTGACTTCTCCTCTCTTGTTCTCCAAACTCATCCTGCATCCCTCACCTTGCACTCTGTCCCTGTGCAGGTTCAGCAATGGAGGCCAAGTCAGCCGATGATCAGAGCCCACATCTGGCAGACCTCTTCATGGCTGCACTGGCTGCTGCCTGCAGCATTCCATTGGAGAGGAACAGCTGTCGGGAAGCCAAGCAGCAGGTCAGGCCAATTTTCTTTGCAGGGTGAGGAGGTGTGGTCCCCACAGGGGCAGCAGCCCTTTCCCGGAGAAGCTCTTTTTCTGTGTTAGAGTGGAGAGCTGTGATCCTCTGGCTTTGGTGGCTGCAGGGCTGGCATTTGCAGGATGCTCCTCCCCAGCCAATAGCAGAGCTTTAGGAGTCTAAGGATTCCTAAATCAATGAAGAGACTCACACCTACAATCTGAACTGTGGGATGGGCTACTTAAAGAACTAGGCAATGCAGAGAAAACATGGAGAGTTCTTAAATGACAGTGATATGAACTGCAGGAAGTCTGAAATTGAATGGGACAGTGAGAGGGGGAAAAGGAAACTACAGATTTACATTTGATCCTTTAACTCAACTCTGAGTTAATGGAGAGGGGAGCAGAGGAGGAATCTTACCTGGTGCATCTCTGCACCTGTACATCAAAGCCGAGCTGGGTTATGGCAGATAGGCATCTCTGTGAATGCACACAACATGCAGGAAGCAGATGCCTTCTTTTATTAACTTGTTGCTAGCATTAAACTCCTTAAAGTTTGTGCAGTGCTTCAGATGCCCAGGGTGCAAACCAGGCTGATTTCTGCAGGTTGCTCAGCAGGTAGCTGAAAAGCTTATGAAGGAAGAGAGCCGACAGCTTGGGAGACTGCTGGGGAGACTGGAGCACCCAAGCTGCTCCTTGAATGTGCTGAAGGTAAAGGCCCTGTCCATTTGTTTGGCTGTGCCCAGAGGTCCTGGACCTTTGGACTGGGCTTAGGAGCATGGCGAAGAGGGAACTGTGGGCTCAGCCCCCAATGACCCCCATCTCCCTGGTGTCAGTTGTTGAGTAAATGAACCCATGGTAGCCATGGGGTGTGACTGGGATGGGCCCTGTCCCCAGGGGTTGATATGCGTCTTGCCCCTCTGCCTTGCAGATCCTCTATGCTGGCTGCCATGTCAGCCTGAGCCTGTGCCAGCACCTGGGCAGAAGCCAACGACTGTGGCGTTCCCTCATGCAGCTCTCAAAGGGCGAGGTAGGACTGACCACAGTGCCAGTAGCAGGGCAGGAGTGTGGGCAAGCAGGACTCATTCCTTTGAGCACTGCTCAGACCAGCTGGGGAATGTGTGGGGAGAAGAGTTTGGAGGAGCCTAGTCTGCAAAGTGCAGTTCTCCTCCAAGGTCTGGAAACATACCCTCCTCCCCTTGCAGCCTTGCTGTCCCTCTGTGACTCCTGCTCCCTTGGCAGGTCCCCATGGCAGAGGTGGCCCGGGGGGCAGCCTGTGAGGCCTCTCTACACCTGCTGGCCCTGCTCACCCTGCAGCTCCAGGTCTCCCCTCCCAGGTAAGCACACACTTTCACTCATGGGTGGGAGAGGAATGTGCCCTGCCCTGAACAGTCCTCTGTCCCACTCCCTGCCCAGAGCTGGGCTTCTGCTCCCACTGATCCCTGTGATCTGGACACACCAGCAGTGTGGGTGGGTGCTGGGGAAGTGGTGAGGCCCCAGTGTGGAAGAAGGTGCTGTGAATCAGGGCTCACTCCTGCAAGGTGGCTGCTTTCCAGCCTTGGGGGTATTTGGATGCTGCTGCTCTGTGGGATGTGAAGGTGTGGGGACACAGGGCTTCTCTCCTGGTCCCTGTGTTTCAGGCTTGAGGAGATGGTTACCCTGGCTGTGGATCACATCACCCACTCTCCTGTCGTCTCCCTTGTGGTGAGTCTGGCCACCCTGCCAGAGCAGTCCCCTAGAGTCCTTCAGAGCCCTACGTCGCATTTCGGTCTTGCTGTTGCTTTCACTCAGGGTTGGATGGGGCTGAGGGATAAAAAGTCAGCACCTGAGTGAGCAGATGGGAAAGTCCCAAGGGTGCTGAGCAATCCCTGTCCCACAGGGGGCTGCAGCATTCCTCCTGGCACAGCTCAGTCAGCATGGGGTTGCCTTGGAGCTCAGAGGAAAAGAGATCCTACTGGTGGTGACAAATGCACTGACAGCACCTGCTGAGGTATGGGATAGTGACAGAGGAGCGGGGGAGCCGTGCTGTCACCCTCCTGTGGAAGTGGGGGGACAAAGACAGACTCACAAGGGTGCATGTATGATGCTGCTGCCCTCAGACCTAGCAGCTAGCTGTAGCTTGCTCCTGCTCTCTCTTACAGCTGCAGCTCCCCCCACCAATGGCTGCTGGTCTCTATGATGGGCTCTTTTTCCTCCTACTGAAGCTCCTTGCCCAGGTACCAGCTGCTAAATCTCCCTTTGCCTGGTCTCTGCTAAAAGGTGTGGTGGCAAAAAGGCCTGAATGTGGATCTGTAATGGAGGCTGAGGCAAACCAGGGAACTGGGCAGCTTTGGCTGAGCTGAGTAACCCCAAGAAAGTTGCCTAATGTCCCTGGGTTAGCTGTGGAGTTCTGAAGTGCTGGTGGGAGAGTGGCAGGCAGAAAGAGGTGATTCATGGGCACACTGGAGTGGGAGAGGGTAGGAATGCCCTGGGACTGGCACCATCAGCAAGCGCAGGAGGGCGGCCAGCTGCCTGCCCCCTCACCTCCCCTGGGCTGTGTCTGTCCAGGCTTGACCTTCCCAGGAACATGAGGCTGGCAGAGCCAGGGACCAGAACCCTGGGGAGCCATGAGGACTGTAAAGCCCTCTGACATCTGCCTTCCCACCTCTAGGAGGACATGGCCATGGAGCAGGGCTTTGCTGCCTCAGAGCTGTGGACTGTGGTGTGGCAATGTGTTGCTGTGGTGCTTTGTGCGGGCAGCAACCGGGCAGCACTGGAGAGAGAGTCCATAGGGGCAGGTGACCCCACTGCAGAGCCAGACTGGAACCTCCTCTCCCCTCAAGGTAAGAGCTGTGGGACAGCAGGGCTTCTGCCCTGGACCCTGCTTCACATCCTGCCCTCAGACTTGCCCCTGTCTCCCCATCCACATCTGATCCCTAAGACCAGAGGGCTTAGGGGACTTTTCCTGAGGATTGCTGTTATCCTCTGGGGAGAGAGGACTGCTCAGGCCTGTGTTGTGCCCAGTCGGCAGTGGTTCAGCTGAGCTGGCTGTGGGGGAACAAGAAATACTGTGCTGCAGGGAATGTTCATCCTGGCAGGTGTGATCATTGTGGATGGAGACTGGTCTGTTTTTTGGCAGGGAAGCATTGAAGCACCCCTGAAGCAGCCTTGAGGAAGTACAGGCAGACAGAAAAAAGGAGACTTTTCAGCCTTCTCTGGTTTTGCCCCTCTGTTGTGCTGTTTCCCCTGCAGGCACCCTGCTCTTCCTTAGCCTGGCCCTCTTTGTCTTCACTCGTGAGTCCCATTGGTGCCTGATGCAGCTCACCCCATCCCATGGTGTCCTCATGGTGACACTGAAGAGGCTGCTGTCCCCTGGCTTCCTTGCATGCCTGGCACAGACGTGAGTTGCAGGGAGGGCTGGAGTGGGCAGAGCTCAGCCGCAGAACAGGGCTTAGACACAAGCATGCAGAGGGTGGAGAGATTCCTGACCTGGAACTTGCAGGGCACAGATTAGCTGCAGTCTCTCTTTAGTGCCTGGCATGGGGAATGCTCTCTGGCTCTTGCCCTGGTGTTTTTCCATTCACCTGTGTATTAAGCCCTCTCTCTCTAACACATTCAGGCAAGCAGGGGAGGATGGGGACCCTGAGCTTGTCCCAGCTGTGGTGATCAAGGCCTGCCAGCTCCTCTGTTGCCCTTTTGCCCTGGAAGTGGATGGAGACGCCTTAGCACTGGTCACAGAGGCTGTGAGAGACTCTCAGATCCCAGCCCAGCTGCTGCAGGTACCCTCCTGGCCCTGCGTTTCTCTTCCCTCACACACACTGCGGAGCCGCCTCTCCACACTGCAGCCCCTGATGTGTGGCACCATTTCACACCATGCTGGCAGTTCCTGTGCACACAGAGATGTCACACAGATGCCACGCAGCCCTCAGAGCAGCTTGCCCAGCAGCTGAGCTCTGCTTATCTGCTGGCCGCCTTCAGTGGGTGCTGGACTTGGCCCACATATGAGGACACTGCACTCAGCACTGCTGTCTCTCCTTTCTCCTTAGGTCTGCTCTTGCCATCTGCCTTTCTCATACACTGAGCTTCCCATGAGCCTCTTGTGCCACCTTGTTGTGTCTGATGAGGAGGTCATAGACCAACTGGTGAGGGAAGCTGCTGCTTCAGAGCACGTCGCTGCCTTCTTGACGTCTGTCTTGTTTTCAGACAGCCTCACACTCACAACTGAGCTCCTGTCTCTCTTGACCCATGTGGCCCGGGCCTACCCAGAGCACCTGCCCTTTCTCCAGAGGATTCTAAGGGGCTTGGATGTGGCTGACCAGCCACTGACACACCTGCTTTGCCACCAGCACCACCTAATACGGGCCAAAACCTGCAACCTGCTGGGCAACCTGCTCCGACACAGCCATGGCTTTTCCCAGATGCTGCAGAGCCACCCTGGTTTGCTGGAGAGCCTGTTAGGGTGCCTGGCCGACCCAGAGGATAGTGTGCGCAGGGAGGCCAGCTTTGCAATGGGCAATGCTGCTTACCACCCGTGCTGCCCAGCCGGGGCCCTGGGCCAAGCCGTGCCCTGGCTGATGCGGCTGCTGAGTGACGTGCAGGCTAGGACATGCTGCAACGCGGCCTCAGCCCTGGGTAACCTGGGCCAGCACTGGGAAGAGCTGGGGCAGCTGCTGCTGGAGAGTCAGGCCCCACGCATCCTGCTGGAGGTGGCCTGCCGGGACCCCCGGGACAGCGTGCGGGAGGGAGCCCTGGCTGCACTGCGGACCCTCAGCCAGCACCCCGGGACCCAGCAGGTACCGTATGGGGACCCCGGTGCTGCAGGGACAAGGGTCCCGGCTGGTGGGTGACTGTCCCTCTCTTTGCTCCGCAGGTGCTGCTGTCCCTGGGAGCCCGTGAGAAGCTGGCCGCGCTGGCCAGCGGCAACTTGCAGCTCGCTGCTGGTGGCTGCCTCCGGCTGCCTTCCGCCCGGCACTGCAAGAAGCTCCTCTGCCTCTTGGCCGCTGCGCACCGCCCCTCTGGACCCCTCGATCCCGGAAGGGCAGCAGTCCCGCACTCGCGGTGAGGGCTGGCACCTGGGCTCAGCCTGGCGCTGCCTTCGGTGGGACGGGACGGGACAAACGCTTCTTCCTTCCTTCTCCTCGGGCTCCAGTCCCGACCGCCCGTGGGTGCCATTTTGTGGGGCTGTCCCACCCGGCCAACTTTACCGGGGCCCTCTCCGTGGGAAGCCCCTCCTGAAAAAGTGCCTGTAGACGTCAACAAACCGCCTCTTTCTAAGAGGCCTCCCGGGCCGTGTCCGACCACCGGAGCTGTGCTCTTCTATCGCGGGCTCTTCCCACTGTGGCGGGCACCGGAGCCCAGGCTCGCTCTCCGCCGCGCTGCTAGGGGGCGCCGTGCACCATGAGGTGCGGCCCGCTAGCGCGGCTCCCGCGGTGGTTGCCGGGAGGTGTAGTCACGTGGCGGCGCCGCCCCGGATCCCTATGGTAACGGCGGCCGTGCGGGGAGCGGCGGGGTCGGGGGCGCCGGGCGGGCGGTGAGTACGGGAGGGTTGGGCGGGCCTGTGTGTGTCAGCCCTCCAGGGAGGGGGGGCTCTTCCCCCCTCCCCGCCGCGGTGTGCGTGCTCCCTGGCCTGTCTTCCACAGCGTCCCCACCGGCGCCTGTGCCCTCGGGTCCCCGCCGCTGCCTCCCCAGCCCCGCCTCGGTGTGGCCCCTCCGTGCCCAGGCCCCGGGGCGGTACCTTGCCTAGCCCCAGGTCTTCCGCGGGGGTTCGCCGTGGCCTTACCCTGTGTTCCCTCGGGGTGCGCCGGGCTGGGCCCTGTGGGGCTGGGGAGCTGCCCGGAGATGCTCTGCAGCGCGATGGGCCGGGGACCGGCGGCCTGGCCAGCGCTCTTGGGGCAGGACGGAGCGTCTCGGTATTGCCTTTGGCCTCAAAAGACTTTCACCTGAAGAAATGAGAAGCAGCGTGTTTCCCGGGTGAGAGCAGGAAGGAGGAAGACCTGAGTCCTCTGTGAGCCACCGACTTAGCGAACCTTTCCCTTGGGGCAGCAGCGAGGATGGAGCTGAGTTGGATTGGACCTGAGTGGGTGCTGGGGCAGCCTGTCTGCTAATTCTTCCAGCAGAGCCCTGGCTTGGCTGCTTAGGTGTTGTAGAAAGGAGCTGATGGCTCCAAAAGGGGAATGGCAAAGCTGCTGGAAGAGTTGAGACAAGCCTGGAGTGTTTCCTGAGTGTCTCCAGGGTCTGGTCTGGGAATGAGTAGTACAGGAGTGGAGCCCTGTGGTGCTGTGCCAGCCTTCTGTCTCCCTGCTGGGCCAGGTTGTGGGGATCCTGTAGGACACAGACTTCAGGCCCACAGTGCCACATCAAAACCCTCCCTACATGACTCCCTGAAATGTGATTCCTCTTTCTCATTGCCATGTGCCCCTCACTGAGCAGGCATGTGATGTCTGGGGACTCCTGGGCAATTTGGAGGAACTATCAGCAATTGTTGGCCTGATTACAGTTTTATCTCATAATTTTTCCTTGACTCTTAGTGGTTGTACCCAACAGATAGTGGTGCTTATTTGTCCTTGTATTGCTCTCTTGCTGCAGTCCTTAAGCTTGTATTAGGCAAACTTTGTGGATGACAAATCATTCCCTCCATCTCTTCAGTCATGCCCAGGGCCCTTTTCAGCATAGCAGGTATCGCATTGCAAGGAGGACACTGGTGGAGCCAAATGCCACTGTCCCCAGATAATGACACGTGGAGATATGTCACCAACATAGGTTGAGGGCTTTGGCTGCCATATGGGCTTGACTGGGTGCCATTCCTTGGCATTTCCTGAGTTCTTCCTGTGCAGCAAGTCTGGGAGTATTTGGCGGCTTCTTCCCAACTTGAGTTTGTTTTTGCTCCACTCTTGAACTCCAAGAGACTGCTCTATGATGTGAGGTGGTTGCAGTGCCTTCAGAAGACTCTTTCCCACCCCAGCCAAGGTATGGAAGGGTCCTCATCATGTACTAAAGGACAGGCATAGGAGGTTTTTCTTCCAGATATGTTTCAGAAAACTATTCAGAAAAGAGGATGGACTGTGTGTTTTATGTGTTTTGAACTAAGTGGGCAGTTCTTGCCTCCTCACTGTGTGTTGACAGTCGATGTTGCACTCGCCTCGAGCCTTCCACCTTTATTTTTCCTGTCAAAGGCTGAAGGTGTGGCCAGGCTGCCTAAAACCAGAGGGCGCTGCACTGCCCTCCTTTCAGCTCCTGCGCTGGTGGGTAGGTGCTCCCCAGGGTGCATTGCATAATTCTCCCACTAGGAAGCTCAACTGAGGAAGTAGGAAGGTGCTTTAGACCTCCAGTGGTTTAGTTCGACACCCTGCTGCCTGCAAGGTCTCACCTCCCTCCCTCCCCTTTGCTACAGCTGCTCCACTTCATTGCAGGGCAGCCTCCACTTAGTTAAAGCATTGTTTTGGGCAGCTATGCGCTTCTCATGCCCTCTCTGTTCAGTGTGATGGGGAGGTCAAGCACTGCAGCTTGTTGAACTGAAATGACTGGCCCTGCACCAGTGCAAATGCCAGGCACAAACATAATCCCATGATGCAGGTGGAATTTGCTGACACATCCCCATGGTGGGTGGTTTCTCAGTGGTATCTTTTTTGTGGCCTGAGTAGCCAAGTAAAAACTTGGTGTCTTGATTAGGAGAGAAATCAGTCATCATCCTATGCCCTGTTGTACTCCAAATGTGGTTCTGCAGGACAATACTGGAGCTGGGAGGGAGCACCAATGCTTGGCTGTGTGGCCAAGCACCACACCAGGCTGTTGGCCTGTGGGTTGCCAGTGGTCCTGTGGTAGCTGTGCTGTCTCTGAGCTTTCTTGTCCTCGTGGGCTTCTGGCCAGCAGGACCCTCTGTTCTTCAGCTTGAACTTGTGGGTGGCCTCAGGTGCTGCTTTGTGTGTGACTGCACTGGAGGCCACTTGTTTCCAGGAGCTGACATAGGTGAGAAGTGTTTCCGTGCTGTTGAAACTCAGGAGTCTGTACCTGGGTACCAGGTGTAAGAGCAGCTTTAGGCACTCCAGGTCAGTTGGTTTTACATCACTGCGGTTGATCTTGTTGGACGTTTTACATTTTTCTGAAGGGTTACAAACCCTTATTTTAAAATGGATATTGGTTTTAAACCCTGTTTATTTTGCATCATTAACTCGGTTGTTTAAGCTTTAATCAAAAGCCCCAGAGCTGCAGGTGAGGAACGGTGTGAACTCGGGTCTTATTTCAAAAAGATGTTACCCTTTGTAATGACAAGGAACAGAAATTTCACCTTGCAATGGCACAGAAAACAATAGCAAATCACAGTCTGCCAACCCCCACTTGTGACTTTGGGTTGCCTGAAGCTGAGAGCACATTATCAGGTCAGCCTGCAGCTCATACATTTGTAAGCTTTTGTTATTTTAAGCGTGTCACCGCAGCTGTGTTTAAAATAACCTCCCCAGCTCAACTCAGGTGACAGAGGTATGTTGTGCACACCTGGCTCTTACAGACTCGTCCTTTCCCGCTAGAGGCGGGGCTGCGAGGAGCTGCCATGCTGCCCTTAGAGAGCGTACACTGAGGGAGGCTGGGGCTGTGAGAAGGGACCTTCCACTGACGCCTGGTGGGGGTGCCCACAGGCTGTGCAGGAGGCGGCCGCTGCATGCCTCTGAGGTGACATTCGTAAAGGCAGTGGCAGTGCTCCAGCTGACGTCCCGAAGTCTGTGAGCAGTACTTAAAGGTGCTAAAGAAATAATTGTGAGTGCAGCTGTATAGTCACACCAGCAGTGACAGCTTTGGCCTCTATCTTGTGTGTCAATAAGTCCAAGCCAAAATCCATTAATTACTAGTAATGACGTTTGAGTTTGACTTTCAGCCCGGACAGCCTGCCCTGGGCTTTTTCCCCAGCTCATGTTTCTACAATGAAATTTCCAAGTGTAGTCTTATTGCTGTTGCGAGTAGCAGAAAGGACTCCTACTCCTTTGCCGCAGGGTTAGGTTGGCAGAGCTAGGGATTGCATCAAGCTGTGACCTCCTTCCACCCCAAAACTAACCGAGGTTTCACGTAAAGGGGGAACTTCCCTCACTGGTAACCAGCCGGGATTTACTGTGGTTCATGCCCAGAGCCATGAGGACGTGGCAGCTGCTGTCCTGTTGTGTCCACAGCCCAGCCCGTGAAAAGTGCCTTCATCTTTGCTGATTCTCCTGGATGTTCAGCAGCTGCTTTGCGGAATTGTCCTTGCAGCAAGAACAGGACCCAGGTTGCAGGCAGACATGAGAGGTGGCTGTGCTGGCACACCGGAGGTGGGACAGGAGTGTGGACAAGGGGAAGAACAGGCAGCATGAAGTGGTATTGCCAGTCTGGATGCATCGTGGCTTGCCCAGTGCAGGGTCAGGTTCTTCCTTTCATCCTTCCTGCCCCCAGCTTTGAGCTTCTGCATCCCTACAGGGAAACAGCAGTAGTTACTAGCCCTTGGCCAGAAGTTGCCTGGAAGCTGTACAAAAGGCCTTGCCACTTCCTTCTACAGCTGCTGCTTCCAGGGCACCCCTGCCCCGCGCCAGACAGAACTCCAGAGAAGGGCTCAGCGTATTCTCCCTGCAGGCCTGTTGGCAGTAAGCCCCTGCTTGTGCTGGTCACATCTCTGCTGCTGTTGTCACTCCGGGGCAGGGTCACTCAGAGCTGCTGCTGACATACTCATGCCTGTGTCTAAGCTGGCTGTAGGATTCATGTCCCTTGTAACGGCTTCATTAGGCCAAATCACTTATTTTTATAGCAGGATGATCCACTGATAGCTGTAAAGCCGGGAGGAGATGAGGCACAGGTGGCTTTCACTGCAGCCTGGTTCTGCAAGGTCATTCACAGCCGGGTGAGAACACGGACGATGGCCAAGCTGGCAGCATGTGTGGTGATGTTGCAGTGACAGTCCCCTGTCTCAAAGGGACATGGGGACATTTCATTCCCTTCCTGTTCTTGTTTCCCTTTTTCACACCTACGTTCGCTGGTGTGCTGGGGGTGCTCTGTGTTCCGAACTCACCTGGGGACCTGGGTGCTTCCGGGGGGGCTGGTGGCGGAAGCCACTCACTTGTTTACTGAGGGAAATTTGAGCCGGGCGGGTGGCGGCACGTGGGCCGCAGCTTCTTTGCTCTCTGCTAATCCCTCTGAATGTCAGACTGGGTTTGCTGCCGGGCTCAGATAGGGTAGCGATCCGATAGTGCGGTACAGCTCCGTTGTGTACGGCATGTGGGATTCCCTGCCCCGCGGCTCTGAGTCCCGCTTGGCTGCAGCTCGCAGAAGGATGCAGCCACCCCGTCCTCATCAGGAGCTCTCAATATGAATGTCTCAGCACTAATGAGCAGTGCAGCCATGAGTACGGAGCAGACCTTACCCCTTCCATGCTTTCTTGCAGAGCTTGGCAGGGCAGCAATGCTCCTTGGAGGCATATAGCTCCTCTGGGATCCTGTGTGGGACATTCCCACCTTGTACAGCCTCCCTTTGGGGTGCTGCTTGCACTAGAGACTGGAGTGTAATTCACAGATTGAGAAGGTCTGGAGGGTGTAGGTCAGCCTGACCCAGCCCTTTGGTAGTGTGAGCAAGTGTGATGCTACAGAGGAATCCCAGGGTCTCTTAGCTATGCTGCAGTATATATTGCTGCTGCGGCAAGGTGGTTTTTCAGGTGAGAAAGGAGCATGTATTGCAAGAAAACTGAGAGGTGATGGTTGATGCTGTCCTTACCCTCCTTTTTATGCCTTTTTTTTTTTTTTTACTTTTAAATATGCAAGCTTGTGAGAGCTGGAAGGTGGAAGAGCAAGCCAGGCAGCCTACAAATTCCTATCACGCCTGCATCCAGGGGCCCTCCAGGCATGTGTTAAAGCAAGACAAATACCTGGCACATGGTTTCTTTTCTCTTTCCCTTCCCCTCAGGCAAGAGGATCTTGCAGGTATGGTGCAGTAGTTCATTTTAGGAGGATTCAGGTCACCTGTCTGCAGCTCAGTGGTCTGCCAGTTGCTCCTTGAAAGTCTTTTCTGCAGGACTGCAATGGGTAGGAACATGTGTGTGTGGTACTGCCAATCTGCTGCAACCCCAACTGCTGATATTAGAACAGCCCTGCATTTGCTCCTTGCTGCTTTATCAGTCCTGTGCTCTTTAGGATGTCCTCAGTCCTCGCTGAGCTTTTCTATGGGGTTATGAAAGTGAGAAAAGCATTCCTTTTAAAAGCAAGGGCTGAGGTTCTCACCTAGTTGTGTGACCTTGGGAGCTGAAGCTTTAAGGAGTGGGGGGGGAAGAAAAAGAAGTGGATGTTTTGGGTTGGGAGGACTGGTGGTGGAGCACATGGTGCAGTTTGGAGACACAGATCTGTGGGAGTGAGTTCAGGCAGCCGTGCCATGTCCAAGGCAGGTGGTCTCCCTCTCTTTGCAGCCAGAGCTGCTGTGCTGGGGCTGCTGCATGTGGCCCTGGCTGGCAGCCACACACCCCTGCGCATTTGCAGGGTACAAACTTTCCTTGTGCACAGCACTTTTCCCAGGGCCCTCTCTAAGTTGTTCTTTGTGTCCTCTGGTTTCTTCTGAGATGCCAGCTCTTCCTTTGTCTTGGTCCCAGGAGACTCTCAGGGAGCTCAGCAGATGGAGTTGTGGTTTTTCATCCTGTAGGGAGAGCAGCTCATGCTGCTCCCTGCCTGGGCACTGGGCCAGGTGCTTTGCCCTGCTGGGGTAACAGTGCCTTTCATGCTGTTTTGTTTCAGGCCAGCAAGGATGCTGCTGTAGATGACTGACTCACTTGTGCCTATATGCTGTGGCTCTATATGGCCTCTGCAGGACCCGAACGCACTAGTCCAGGCACCAAACAGAAGAGTGTCTGGGTTGAGTCTGGCACCCTTCCAGCAGGGAGAGCTGAGCAACACCTCACTTGGCAGCAGGCAAAACCCATCTGGAATTTAGAGACGACACATGTGAGTGCTTTCCACAGCCTGCTGCCCTCAGGGATCCGTCTGCAGCAGTCCTGCTTCTTGTGCTCACCATCACTATGCCACACATGCCCCAGTGAAGATGCCCTCCTGAGCCCGTCCTCAGCCCAACCCTGCCTGGACCAAGGCAGGAGCGCTCTGTTCTACCAACGCTCCTGCCTCAGACCCAAGCCCCATGGGCTTCCTTTCCAAAGCCCTCTGGACACTGGCTCTACCACAGGGAGGGTGATGTCTTCCTTACTGACAGAACCCTGCCTTCAACCTGCACTGACAGAGGAGTGCTCTGAGACTGGGGTCAAAGGCCCTGCCCTGAGCTCAGGTCAGCAGTCTTCCAACTTCTGTAGACCAGTGCTCAATAACAACTCCTTCCTATGGCCAAGCAGTGCTAAAGTGCCTTTCCCTCAGTCACTGGAGATCAAGAAGGTGAAAAACAACCACAGCATCCCCACCACCTCATGGTCCCACTCTAGGCATGGAGACAGCTCTGCCAGTACCCTGGTTAACAGAGCAGTTAAAAGCAGCAACCATGCATTGGAGCAAACTGCAGTCCCCTCTGTGACTGTTGTGCCTAGCAGTGCAACCCTCAGAAAGGACCAGTGTTTGCGGGAAGATGCTGAGAGGAGAACGCACAGCTTAGAAGAAAAGGAGCCAGAGATCTGCATCAGCGAGGCTGTGCAGCAGCTGGCCATACAGACTGCCACACACAATGGCTTTGCACACAGAGCCCAAAGCTCTGCCCTTACGAACGTGGGCAGCCTGTCCAACTGGAACAGCAAGTGCAGGCAGAACATCATAGCACAGCTCACCGCAAAAGAAGCCATCGCTCCTTGCAACTTGGAGCCGGGTAGCCATTGCCTTAACAGTAACTCGAGCCTTGCAGGCACCGATGCTGCTGCTGGCTGCACTAAGCATATCAGTGTCCATCCCTTGGCTTTGCATGCTGCCTCTCCTGAGCACGGTGCTGACTGCCAGTGTGTGAGCACACCGAGCTCATGCCCTGTGGACAGGGCGGTGAGAGCAGATCCTCTGCATGTTGCGGCTGTCGCTGAAGTGGCAACTCGAGTGTCCACAATCCAACTGGAGAATGAGGAGAAATGGGCCCACACTGTGCTCCCAGGAAGGCTCGAGTGAGTAGGGCCAGGTGGCAGTATGGGCTGGGCTGGCTGTTACATCTGTGTGTGCTGGGAGAGGATGCACTGTGGCCGCTATGGGGGTGGCAATAAGGATATCCATGGGCTGCATTCCTGAGCAAAACCCAGCTGCAGCAGATAGGCTGAGAAAGTTGGGGCTGCTCAGCCTGGAAAACAGAAGGCTGCATGGAGACCTCATAGCAGCCTTCCAGTATCTGAAGGGGGCCTATGGGGTGCTGGAGGTGGAATATTCATTAGGGACTGTAGTGATAGGACAAGGGGTAACAGGTTAAAACTTAAATGGGAAGTTTAGATTGAATATAAGGAACAAGTTCTTTACTGTAAGGGTGGTGAGGCACTGGAATGGGTTGCCCAGGGAGGTTGTGAATGCTCCATCCCTGGCCGTGCTCAAGGCCAGGTTGGACGAAGCCTTGGGTGACATGGTTTAGTGTGAGGTGTCCCTGCCCATGGCAGGGGGGTTGGAACTTGATGATCTTAAGGTGCTTTCCAACTGTAACTATTTTATGATTCTATGGTGCAGGGGGAGCTTTCCTCCTACCCTAGCTTGACACAGGTGGCTCTGAGCCCCTCCCCCTTCTCCTTCAGCCACAGTATAGAATTGCTGTGTGGCATTTCTAGCTCACTCCTGACACGGTCACAGGGCCCTACCTGCTGTGGCAAGCTCTGCGTGTATGTTGGGTGAAGCCTGCTGTTGAGCCGGGTCCAGCAAGTCTTTCCTGGGCAGAGACATGGGTTCCTAAAGGTATGCGAAACTGATGCAGGACAGGGAGGGAGCAAAGACACAGAGCTTGTGCACTCCTGCTGGGAGATGGTGTCCTTCTGCCTCTTTCTGGCTCCTCTGGGACCTCTCTATCTTGCTAGCCTGTGATTAGTGCTTGTATATCAGCACCGGGGAGGGCAGTGATATCATTGCCATCCACGTTATCTCATACTGCCTGGTGGGCTTCTGGGTCTTTTGGCCCTTGAAAACATGTGCCACTCCTTCTGATGTAATGTCCTTTGTCCCAGTGTCCCTTCTGAGCAGTCACCCCTGGAGCTGAGCCAGCCCCAGGATGAAGCAGAGGAAGAACTTCCTGATGGCCTGGATGAGAGCAGCAGTCAGGAGGTAGACGAGGACAGTAAGTGCTGGTTCCGTGGCGAGGCTGTGCTCCATGCCTTGAGGTGGGGAGTGTGAGGGCTGTCTGGGAGCTGGGGATGAGCACAGCTCTCTCCTGTCTTACATTCATGTTGTCATTTCAGGATGACCTAGAGATTGTGCTGAAGCCAAAAGCAGTGTAGCAGCAAGGAGGAACTGCATGCGTTCCTCTGGGGAGCAGGCTAGGGTTCACCACTGTCCTACTCCAAAACTTAGACATCACCTCTCTGTGCAGGGCTGTCAGATCCACCCCCTGCCTTGCCTTTTATGTCACCAATTAGAAAGCAAAACCCAGGATCCAGGGATTCAGGACAGGTGGGAAGGGTCTGTCCCCTGGAGCATTTATTTTGTCTTTTCCCCTCATAACTATGCATTCACTCCCTGTGGAGATAAAACTTGACTCTGTCCCTGTCTGCAGGTGACTCGGATGCTTTCTCTGTCACTGGCATGTCATCCAGTGGATCCGTGGCTCTTATATCCAGGTTAGTAGCAGTACATAGTATGTTAAACTTTGCACCTTTGTCCAGATTTGTCTGTCTTTGCCCTCCTTGGTGACAGAGGAGGGCTGTAGCATGTAGGGGAATGGAGTGGAGGTAGTAACAGGCTTCGCTACCAAAATGAGCTTCCCTTGCTGCCCTGCAGGCCAAAGCTACTTCTCCTGCTACAGGCAGCAGCCTGCAAAGTGCTGAGGTATATCCACCACATCAAAACAGGGCTCTCAATTTCACTGCCACTGCTAGTTGCTGGGTTAGGCTTACTGGATTAGACTGTGTTCTTGCAGTGCTGTTGCCTTGCAGATGAAGCAGAGTGGAGGCATCCTAGGCCAGAGATTGCAAAGCTCTGCGGTGTCTTGTCTCTCCTAAAAAGAAGTCCTATAGCCTGGGTTTTCCTTTAGATTTTGGGAAGAGGTTTCTCTGGGGATGATTTGTCAGCCTGCAGTCAGCAGAGCTCTGCCTCCCTGACTCCTGGCAGACCTTTGTAGGACCTGTTCTTGCTAATCCAGCAATGGGAGCTGGTCCTTGCAATTGTGTTGCTCCTTGTAGCAGGGCTGCCTCAGGCTTTGCTCTCTGCCTGATAACTTGCTGCTTTCTGTCATGTTGTAACTCACCTGGGAGACAAGGAAGACTGCCTGCAAGCAAGTGTTGAACCTCAGGGTGCTGCAGCGTGCTCCACATGGCTGTGAAAGTCCTGCAGAGGTGACAAATTGAATCAGCAGCTGTTTCTGTCAGGATGTGGCTGGTTGGCCTCCAGGGGCAGATGAGGGGAAGCAGCACTTGGGCCAAATGCCTCCTGCAGGAGGGAGTTGGCCACTTCTCTGTGTGGGCTGTAAACTGGGCTGGCCTCAAAGCCTTTGCTGCTGTCTCCTGTCTTTGGTCTGTTGTGGGCAAACCCAGTTTTGTGCCAAGGAATGTTAATATAATTTATTGCCAATTGATAAACTTTGAGTTACTGATTCTGGTATTGAAACATATGTATATGTACAAAGATTTAGGGAAAACACTTCTTTCCACTCCTGCCCCCATCCTGGTCTCTAACCCCCTCGCTGCAGGCTACACTCAGTCCCTTCAGTGAGGCAAGGTGTGGCCTGGGAGCTTGGGGTCAATGTGTTGTGGTTCCTTTTCTTTTGTGCTCTTAGTTCCTTAGTGGATTAATCTGGTATGGCTTCTTCCACTGGCTGCAGTGGCATGTATTTAAACATATGTCCATTATAAGTGCTACTTTTAGCATCATCCCAACCTGAATAGATAAGTTATAAATTCTGCCCTTCCTCCCTGGTGCTAGGGATTGCTGTGGTAGGAAGGGGTGGTACAGTCAGTAAAACTCTGGCCCTCTTTCTCTTGGTTTTGGTGTGTTCCAGGGATTACAAAAGATGAATTATATATATATGCATTGCAACCTCCACCCCTTGTTCCTGTGGACTAGGTTATGGGGTTTGCCATGTAACAAACTCCACCCCCTCGCCCTAGCAAAACACAAAACCCACGGGGTTACAACACTTGGCATGTGCATTCATTGCAATCTCCCCCCCCATGTCCTCGCCGCAGACTGGGTTACTGACCTTAATACCCATTACTTGCACCACATGGCAATGATGCAAATTCTGCTACCAGGATCAAGGCTCCTTCTGGCTTCCCTTGTCATCCCTGTGCTCATTTTTACCTTTAGCCAAACGCCTACTGCTTTATCTCTCCTAGGAAGTGCATCGAGTGCCTGGCCCAGCCTGCTGAGGCTCAGGAGAAAGTGCTCAAACCAGCTCTTGTCTCCAGTTTATTCCCTAATGTGCCTCCAACTCTCTACTTCAGTACTCGGGATGAGGCAGGTGAGCTGGGGTCTGTTACTGTGTAGGGTGAGAGCAGCCAGCCTGTTATTAGCAAGCAGCGGTGCCAGCACACAGCATCCCTTACTTTGATGAGACCCAGCACCACTGTCAGATCCAAAGGGCTGGAGTAAAACGATGGCTGCTCCTGCAACCTGGAGCATGAGTCAGGCAGCCACCAAATGTTCCAGCATGCTGGATCTCCCCCCAGCCATGGAGTCCTGTGCTCTATGCTAGTTTTGCAAAGGGGCCTGTGCATCCTCCCTTGCAGGCCTTGTGCCTGTGCAGTGAACTTAGGGAGGTGGTGTTTTCATTTTCCTTCTGTCCTTATCTTTTTGCCTTCCTAGTGGAAAAG